GTGAACTTTCAACATTCTACTATTAAACTACAAAAAAATGGAAGATTTTGCAACGAATATAAAACTTATATTGAGCGTCGAAAGATTTTCCCGGTTTTTTCCCGATTCGCCTTTCAATCCCTAATCGCCCCATTTTACCGGTATATCAATGCCTTTTGCTCGACATTTTTTGCTTTTTTTGCATACCGGTAAAATGGGGCTATTAGGGATTGAGGCGAATCGGGAAAAAACCGGGAAAATCTTTCGACGCTCAATATAAGTTTTATATTCGTTGCAAAATCTTCCATTTTTTGTAGTTTAATAGTAGAATGTTGAAAGTTCACAAAACAACTCTGAATATGCATGATAATAGCTGCTAACTTATAAAAAATCGCGTTTCAAATTAACTTCCTGTGGTGGTAATTATTTTAGTGCTAGAAACTTTGCTCTCTTTTATTTCTTTGTCGCGCATACATAATTAGACACGGACGACTATGATTTATAACGTATATTAGTGTTTTGAATCAAGAAACTTTACAAATATTAAACAGGTAAATGTCTCAGCTTGTTTATTACGGTTTTTAATGTATTGAATTAAATTAAAAAACCATACATGTCAAAAAATCTGTTGTATTTTGAGGGATTATTGCGAGGAGCGACGTGTATATTGCGAGCAGATACAGTGTACAGCGCGCGATGCATTTGATTCGGCCGCAGCGGAGACCAGGAAAGTGGAAATAAGATACTAAAGAAAATTTCGAATGCTCATGGGTGATTAGGCTGGTGGTCAGGGCAGACCTCGACATGAGGATACTTTTCCACCGGATTTCTGAGGAGCGCGCATTCGCCCGGACGTGTTACAATCCCCTAATCCGCCGCCCTAACAAATATACCAGCATCACTGAATTTGAACAACGTGTCAATTTGTATGCATCGGAAATACAGCGTGCACCATATTTGAACCTTTACGCTATGCCCTAAGATTAATCTAAATAGGGTAACAGATTATTTAGGGGTTGTCTATGGTCAGGATTTAGGTATATAGAAGCAATATTTTTAAATTCGATAGCTTACAGAAATACTAGTCCTTAATCGAAGCGGAATTGAGGACGAAAACTTAGTCCCTTATTACACCCCTACGAATAAAGCATAATTTAAAAAATATTATTAGTCAAGTCTGAATTTTGCATGACGATTATGCTAAAAACACAGTTCTACCAACATGATAATTTCTCTAATGTGCGAGGTACATATAAATATGTACGTATAAATGCTATCGAAGTATAAACTCAACATAAATTTAACAAAATATTATATATTTTGTTCAGCAATGGGAGAGATCCACTTTCGAATCTGTATTATAACTCCAATGGCAATAACCGACACACCTTAAATCTCTTAAAACCCAGATAGAAAATAATCAGCGCCTAAGCTTATCCTACCCAAAAGACCGGGTAATGAGGAAATAATAAAACCAGTTCTATAAAGAAAGCCCACTATATATGTATTAAATATATTACTATATATATATATAATATCCTATTTAGATCTATATATATATATATATATATATATATTGTTGTTACTGCACTGTCGATTGCACCTATAATTGAGGTGATGTCTGCCATGTACTTTTGTCAGTTTTTCAATTTTTTTTATTGATGATCACTTTGTTGGTGCAACTAAATAAATAAATAAATTAAAACTATATATAAAAATAAAAGTAGTGCCAACCCTAGCAAATTTCTCATTTCGTCCCAATTAACCGCAATTTTCGGGTAAATAGGGATTACACATATTTTTGCATTTTTTGCTTAAACTGGAATGCTAGTTGCATAATTTTAAATTAGACAACAAAGATGCCCCCAAGACTCAATCATTTTGATCCTGATATAGCATTATATACATCAACAACTACCTTAAAATTGCTCATAAAGTTGAAATTTGTCCCTAATCGCCCCATTTTACGGTACCGTATCAATCGAGCTAGCAACATTTCGTTTTTTTCTTTTCCAATTTTTTGCGGCCGTTGGTTAGCAGGTACCCTAGAAAGTCCAATTTCTCCGCATCAATGTTCCCATTCTCTGTGAGAATCGCTTGGAATCTCTGGGTCTACGGAGATACAATTAATGGATCTCTTTATGTAATAGTATTTTACGTGGGGAGTGAGGGAGTTCCCTGAGGAATTGTTTAGATGATCTTAAGATTTCGCTTTGAACATCGCAGCGTGCGCCAACGGAGCAGAGTTCATTCAGAATAACGGGAATCCCTGTGTTCATCCACAGTATGTTCCCAAATATTTGTTCTGTTACGTACCATTCAGTTCTGGAATAAACTTTTCTCCATGGTGTTACTGGAGCCCTATGAGATGTCCTTTTTTTTTTATTGCTTTGATGGGTGGACAAGCTCACAGCCCACCTGGTGTTAAGTGGTTACTGGAGCCCATAGACATCCACAACGTAAATGCGCCACCCACCTTGAGATACAAGTTCTAAGATCTCAGTATAGTTACAACGGCTGCCCTACCCTTCAAACCGAAACGCATTACTGCTTCACGGCAGAAATAGGCAGGGCGGTGGTACCTAACCGCGCGGACTCACAAGAGGTCCTACCACCAGTAATTACGCAAATCATAATTTTGTGGGTTTCATTTTTATTACACGATATTATTCCTTCACCGTGGAAGTCAATCGTGAACATTTGTTGAGTACGTATTTCATTAGAAAAATTGGCACCCACCTGCGGGATTCGAACACCGGTGCATCGCTTTAACACGAATGCACCGGACGTCTTAACCATTAGGCTACGACGACTTCAAATGAGGCTTGTGGAGAGTATTAAACGGTAGGCAGCGGCTTGTTTCTGTCCCTGGTATCTATGAGCGACGATAACCATTCACCATCAGTTGGGCCGTATGTTGCTCTTACAACAAGGGCAATAAATTTTTTTTTTTTATCGAAAAACGCATCGACTTCGACCCCACGAAAAGCACAGCCACGAACTTCAAAAAGGGTCTCTCGGTACCACTTCGATTATCCCACACCGTATCAGGCGCGGTAATGCGATTCGCTCAATCACACTCTTTGGCTAATCCATACCTTGGGCCACGAAGGTCAAATATGGGCCACTTCGAAAGAGGGATGACATACCGTACTGGTGTGAAAACAGTCCACGACTGAGGTGCATTTTTACTCAATAGATTTTATCCCATGGTTTTCGAAGTAAATTGTTCCTTCGCAATAACTTCATATGCATGTGGACGTACATGCAAGTGTAGCGTTTATTGTGCTGTAGTGTTTGTTCATTATTCTTGCTAGGGGTAGTGTTAGCAAATTCTCTCAGGCTAAGTCCCGTGAGCTTGTCTAGAAATCCAGTGAAGCGAGAATAGCTTCTCGACGTGACTGGCAGTATGCAGTAGGTAGGTGGAATAAAATCTAAAGGAAAACCATAGATTGTAACAAAAAGTAAAATATTAGTACTACCTAATTAAGTTTTTGAACGAAGAAACTTACGTCAAATTGATTGATTTTTCTATTTCCATTTTTATTTCGTTTGTTTGCATTTCACTGCGAAAACTTTAGAGTTGTATTCGATTGTTGTTAAAAAATGGATCAAATATTTTTTTCTACGAGAGGCTAATAAAGCTCAAACATGAACGTATTAGAGAAAGCTGAAAAAGCTTTAGAATATCTTAAAGCAAACGAAGCTTCTGCGAAGTAAGTTTCTTAGTTACCAAAGTGGAAATCAGTTTTTTCAGCGAATGTTTTTATAGTGTTTGTAAACTTTCTAGAGTTCATGAGTTCCAAACGGCTGCTGGAACTCTGGGCAGATGCCTGGGAGCTTTAGGAACTCGCTCGAATTGCGCTCGGCATTATGCAAATTTGTTGCACTCAGCAATTCCAACTTTACTGTTTTTAGCCAGCCATGACAGCGTAAGTGATTAAAGAATATTTATATATTTAAAAAAAAAACCATTTTAATTTTCCATACGCCAGTTGTAAAAGAATAGTAATTTTTAGTTGCTACCTTTTTATTAAAAAATCTGCTTAACTGTTGTCGTGGTTTAATAACTTTTTAGGCTGAGGTGCGTTTGGTTGGCGATGAAGCTCTCAATAGAGCCGTAGTCGGAGGTTTCGCATTCCATTCACACAAAACTAATATTATACTTCAAAATCAGATTGATCACAAAAGGAATGCCAGGTAAATTCCTTTTTAAAAATACATTGCAGGCCATGTCAATAGTGTTGTTATTAATACAACATATAAATAGCAAGTTAATATTACTTTCTGTTTTTCTCTGATTCTTCATTGAAAAATGTGGAAAAAATTATGAATAATTATTATCACCAATTATTCCTTATTTTGTTCTAGATACATGAATTTATTTACACTTGTTTCATTAAATAGGTACATACACTTCATGGGTATTTTTGAATAATCCTATTACTTTCTGAAATGAAAAAAAAAATGTAGCATTTTAATTTTCACAAAATCCTGCTTATTGTACACAACTTTTTTTTTTCCCTAGAATTTAACCTTTTCTCTGGTCTTTGTAAATAGAAATTAAAAGGGAAGCTATTTTGTTTTATCTTATCTTTGCGGGACTGAATAGAAAAAAAGGTACATTACAAATTATCTACAAATTTCGCATATGGATTTCTAGATGGATCCGTGCAGCTTTATCTCGTATTTGCCTTGGAGAATGTTGGCTCCGTCCTGGTGTTGGCAAGATTCGAAATCAAGCCCAGTTCCTATTTCCAAAATTAAGTCAGATAGTGAAAGAGACAAATGAAATTCAACTCATTGTAGAAGCATTAGAGAGTAACCTGCCTCGGCTCCTAAATGCCTTGGGTGAATATACTTCAGATGAAGAGATTTCAGGTATGTAACGCTTCATAACATTGAATAATTAAGTTAAGTTGTACTTTAATGAGATTTTAAAATATAAACGTCCTGTTGGGTGATCCCATCTTTTTTATTATTGCTTCACGGCCGAAATAGGGAGGGTGGTGGTCCTTACCAAGTAATTATCAGTAATTACGCAATTTATAATTTTGATTTTTATTACATGATGTTATTAAGTACGGATTTAATTAGAGAAATTGATACCTGCATGTGGGATTTTAACACTGCTGCATCACTTTATACAAATGCCTCGTGCATCATCCTTTAGGCCACGATGTCCTCAATTCTAAACAACAATAAAATATTCCTGAAATAACCCCTTTTATCCGTTATAATTAAAAGTAAATATTTTTAACTAGGATTTTTCACTTATATTTGGATGCCAGTGCTTTTCATTAAAAAAAGAAAACCATATTAAAATTATTTGTCATTTTCTAGAACTGTCAAAAGCAATTCTATTGCACGTAGAAACAACTGAAGCATCTGTGAGGAGAGGCATAGCGACATGCATAGCGCACATGTGCTCACACAGAGAAGCCTTGCTTACTAATGTCCTACAGAAAGTGTTTGGTAAGCTACTCTAAGTTTATAGATTTTCTTTTATTATTATCAAAGAAAAGGCTTAATGTAATTACAGCCTGTTTAGTGTTGTAATGTTTACCGGAAACTATAGAAATGAGGGAATTCCATGACTGACGTCGCCTTCGTTGATGATTGCGTCGGTCGGCGTCATTTTCGTGGTGTAGATTGCGGTAACCAATTTTAACTCTGCTGGCTTCAATACTGGGCCAAAAGTACAAAAGGTTTTATAGTGGGTGGCCTAAACCAGGGAAGTAGTAGGATATTCTTTCCTCGCCCTAAAATAGAAGGGTTGACATAAGAAGGGTCCATGTTCTAATTAAATTTAGCTAATAATGATGTTTGGTTGACATTATCCGAACGAATTGTAGCTTATTTTTTCACACTCCGTCATTTAGACGCAAACTACATTTCTCAACAATGAGAACTAGAGATACTTTCTAGATAAAGAGCAAACAAACCTGTTTATTATTCGAATTTTTATCCGATGAAGGAATTGAACCCTCAATGTCAGCCCAGTAACAGGGGGCGTTAGCTACTATGCCACCAAGTCATTGAAAATTTTACAAGTCAATAGGAATTAGTTAAGATTGAAAACCAAGTGGGTAGTTAGTAGTATTAAATTATGATAGTAATCTGTTTGTATCCAAAGTGATCAATCAAATGTTGCCAATGACTAGTTATATATGTGTTATATAACTGGTTTCATTTCTCCATTTCCCCCTGGTAATGAAGTCATTTTTATTAGCTACTAGCTAACTCGGCAGGCTTCGTAGTGCCTCAATCGATAAATAAAAGACCTAAACTTTTGTATAAAATAAACTTAAAACAAACAAAAGGAATTCGTCCGCTGGGGGACACATCAAAGGAAAAACAAAATTGTTTGTTTCCGAGCTTTTTTTATAATTTCCCTGGACTTCCACAAATAATTCAAGACCAAAATTAGCCAAATCGGTCCAGCCGTTCTCGAGTTTTAGCGAGACTAACGAACAGCAATTCGTTTTTATATATACAGATTGATTCAGAATTTGCAAACCTTCACATCTCCATTGCGATAGTAACTAGTCATTTGCATTTCAGAAAAACTGTGGCCCATCTCTCGCGAGAGTCCAGTGGTTTTGGGCTGGTTTAGCGTCATCAAAGTCGTTTTTCAGATAAACGAATTCAAGAAATTTGCTGAAAGCGATCTTTTCAACGTGCATGATTACATGGAGGTAATTGTATGTTTATATAGTTAACCTTTTTGGCAGTTTTACGTTGGTAAACTAAAAGCCGGGCAAATACCTTAAACGATTTTTGCCGTTATTTTAATAGTTCAGCTATTGAATAGTTAGTTCAGTTTCAGTTTAATGGTGGTAGGACCTCTTGTACGGGTAGGTACCAGCCGTTGTAACTATACTGAGACCTTAGAACTTATATCTTAAGGTGGGTGGCGCATTTACGTTGTAGATATATATATGAGCTCCGGTAACCAGTTAACACCAGGTGGGCTATGAGTTCGTCCACCCCTCTAAGCAATAAAAAAAAGTTAGTCAGCAAAATGTTTAGTTTTGTTATTAGACAAAATGACAAAAAGGGACCACCCCTTCACGCTATAGGAATAATATTATAGGTAACCACCCTTTCTATTTCCGTCGCGGAACAACTATGAGTACCTATTCGAAAATCGCTAAAACCTTTATCGACCTCATGTGTCCTACCGATATTCGTTTTGTAATTGCTATGTTTTTTTTTATTGCTTAGATGGGTGGACGAGCTCACAGGCCACCTGGTGTTAAGTGGTTACTGGAGCACATAGACATTCACAACGTAAATGCGCCACCCACCCTGAGACATAACCTCCAAGGTCTCAGTATAGTTACAACGGCTGCCCCACCCTTCAAACCGAAACGAAATACTGCTTCACGGCAGAAATAGGCAGGGCGGTGGTACCTACCCGCGCGGACTCCAAGAGGTCCTACCACCAGTCAAAACAGTACTCTGTTTAACAACGTCTAACATTGCAGACAACATACTAATAATATTTGTTTCAAACACAAAACAGCTGTACAATCTATGCGTGAACTACGTAGATCAGTCGACGGACCATAACATCCAGAACTGCGTGATGGAATGCCTTACCGTTATACTGTCCAAAGCGGCCGGAGCGTACAGGGCGGCCGTGCTGGAGAAACACCCCGCTCGGGTTGTATTGGAGGAGAGGAATTTAAATAAAGGACACAGGAGGAATATTAGTGAGTACACAAGCTTGGTTCTTTATTATTATTATTTTTTTATTGCTTAGATGGGTGGACGAGCTCACAGCCCACCTGATGTTAAGTGGTTACTGGAACCCATAGACATGTACAACGTAAATGCGCCACCCACCTTGAGATATGAGTTCTAAGGTCTCAGTATAGTTACAACGGCTGCCCCAACCTTCAGACCGAAACGCATTACTGCTTCACGGCAGAGCCCTCCCACTCATCTCCAGTAAGCCTTGCTGCGGAACACATGTGATGATATACAAAAAAGTGTTTTTTACCGGTGGTAGGATGTCTTGTGGGTCCCATCAAAATCGGTCCAGCCGTTCCAGAGATTAGCCAGAACAAACAGACAGACAGACAAAAATTGTAAAAAATGTGATTTTGGTGTATGTACAGTATATATATTCATATGCATGTAGTAAAAAGCGGCTATTTCAATATTACAAACAGACACACCAATTTTATTTATATGTATAGATTTTCAGGACTTTAAAAACTGTGTCTTCCAGACATCGTTCCCAGCTGGTTTGAACTCTAACGCGCAGTGGTATTGTTGTCAACAGGTTCGTCGAGTGTCATATCTTCAAGGTACGCGCCGAGTCCGGCCTCCGAGCAGAGAGATAATCTAGAGCTTTCGTTTACTGGAGCTTTGCAACTTGGAAGTCTATTGCAGTTGAACACGCCGAGCTTGAGCGTCGAAGATCTGACCATACAGGTGATTTATGGGCTTTTAATAATCGTGAAGTCGTCGTGGCCTAAAAGATAAAGACATCCAGTACATTCGTGTGTAGCGATGCACCGGTGTTCGAATCCCAGGCGGGTACCAATTTTTCTAATGAAATACGTACTCAACAAATGTTCACGGTTGACTTCCACGGTAAAGGAATAACATCGTGTAATAAAAATCAAACACGCTAAATTATAATTTGCGTAATTACTGGTGGTAGAACTTCCTGTGAGTCCACACGGGTAGGTACCACCACCCCGCCTATTTCTGCCGTGAAGCAATAATGCGTTTCGGTTTGAAGAGCGGGGCAGCCGTTGTACTATATTGAGACCTTAGAACTGATATTTCAAGGTGGGTGGCGCATTTACGTCGTAGATTTCTATGGGCTCCAATAACCACTTAACACCAAGTGGACTGTGAGCTCGTCCACCCATATAAGCAATAAATAAAAAAATAACCCTAAGATATTTACGAATTCATTTGTATTGGAAGCCCGTGGAGGTGGGTATTACTGTCTTGCTTCTGTGCCGCGAACCAGTCGTGCGTTCCAGTTTGAAGGGTGGGGCAGCCGTGAGCTTCGACCTTATCTGGTGGCGGCGTTCAGGGTGTACTGTTTATGAGCTCCGGTGACCGCTTTACCCCAGGTCGGCCGCGTCTGTGGGTTAATTCGCTCGTCGAGCCCTTCGTCGCAAGCGACGGGTTCGACGAGGACGGCGACCGGTGGTCGATCGACCATTTTCGTAATAAGAGCTTGTATCTGTGGTGGGGGGTATGGTAGTAATCCACAAAGATACATTCACATTGGGGTTATTCGTTTAGGAAAAATTATATCTTTCTAAGTATATTTAATTTAAGTATGGATTGGTCCGAAGAAAAGTCTCATTTTGGATTTATGTCGAAATTTCGATCTTACGCTTGCGGCAATTGAGTTTGAATTTGTCTGAACCGGTTTTAATGAATGTGACCGGGTCTCGAAACGGTAGTAAGTTCCACTTGGAGCGTTGACGTCACCATATTAACGAGGTCTGTGCGCAGACTCCGGAGTCGCCGGCGAGCGAGGGGGAGGCGCCGCCGCCCGACTCTGAGCTCCTCTCCAGAGACTTGTCGGAGAAACTTAAGGAGTTCGAAGAAACCGACAGCACCGATACTGACCTGGAGAAATGTTCCCACGACGCCGGGTTCAAGGTTAGATTCGTTTGGTTTAATTTTAATATTGAGTAGCTGACCCGGCAGACTTCGTAGTACCTCTGTCGATAAATAAAAGACCTAAACTTTTGTATAAAATAAACTTAAAACAAACAAAAGGAATCGATCCGACGGGGGCAACATCAAAGGAAAAACAAAATTGTTATTTTTATTTAATTCCGAGCATTTTCATATTTATCTACCTTATAAACCTTTAGACTTCTACAAATAATTCAAGATCAAAATTAGCCAAATCAGTTCAGCCGTTCTCGAGTTTTAGCGAAAAGCAATTCATTTTTATATACAGAGATGATGAGAGATGGTCACCGTCGGTCGTGATTATCGAGAGTTTTTTAACGTTCTCGATAGCGTAAAAGTTAACTCAAATTTGTGTGGAGTTGGAACAGCGCCCCTAGCTGCAAACGTAGGGACGCTGGTCCGATGCAGCCGTTCTGTGGCGATAAAGAAGTTAAATCCTCGCACGAAGCACACTGATGGTCACACTCGGGCTATTACTGACACTTTTAAAATTTAAGCCAATCGCGTTTGTGTATTCTAGTAACGGGGTTACCAATGAAAAGCAAATCGAGGGTTGAAAGGTTATTTGTTGTAAGCGACATTTCGCTTAACACGCGACATTTTTATCTTTGTAATTAAATGTGCATTTTATTTGGTATTAGCGTCAACAGTTCGATGTTATTAATTGAACTTTAATTCAGTTTATTAAAATAGTTGAAGAGCAAAGTTGCAAAAATGTCACTTAAATAAATATTTAGCAAATAGCCTTTTGCCGTTCGATAATGTAATAAGTATGTTTACAAATTGAAAAGTCTAGTTTTATTTGCAGATAAACATAGGATCTGTAGCCGATGATGATGTCCCGCTAAAGTATTGTGTGAGGTTGCTGGCTTCGAAGTTTTTGTTGGCTGGCAACAAAGGAGACCTCATTCCTGATCGGTAAGCTCATTGCGATCGGTTCGTAGCGCCCCGCGTGCGTGTCCCTCCCACTTTGAGACATGAGGTCTAAGTCTACAGTGTTGTGTAACAGCTGACTCGCCCGTCAAACCGAAACGCAGGACCTCTTCGCAGCAGAAATAAGCTGGGTTTGGGTTCATCCAACCTCAGTAAATGGCAGTAGGCGACCTCACTAATTCAACAAGACAACCATAGTTTAACTAATAATAAATAATAACCTTTTTTTTAATACGCCCTAATTAGCTTCATACGTATGATGTTTTTCCCGAGCAGGCAGACGAGCATACGGCCCACGGTAAGTGGTAAGAAGGTAAGTGGTCACCGTCGCTCATGGACGTGAGCAATGCCAGGGGCAGAGCCATGCCGCTGCCTACCGCTTAATACTCGTTAGTATGTTAGTATGTAACGGAAATTTTGATTATGATTTTGACCCCCCTACAATACGTTGGATTGACTCGAAATTTGGCATACTTATCAAGGACTAATGACAATTCATTTTAATTCAATATTTACAGTTAGACCAACTGGTCTACTATTTACTACTATCCAGGATAACTATCCTCGCTAAGATGACAATCAGGAATAGCGATTTTTTGTCGGGACTACCTTCTAATTTTAACAGCTCTCTCACAATACTAACAAAGCCTTATTCAATAGTTTTTTTTTTTACAATAAATTTATTTTTCATATTTTTGTTGGATATTCTATAAAAGCCTATTTTTTTTATTTTTTTTTGTGAGCTCCATTTTCCCATTCGATATAATGATAATTCGAGTTTCGATCGTAATCGATACAAAGAGAATTTATCAACGTCCCTAACGCGGCAGGTCTGTGCGGGTCTCGTTGAAGGCGTCCGCGCTTAACTGCATATCGGAAGTAGTACAGGTGTACCCTCAAGCGATGACCTTGTATTTGGACAAAGATGCTGACGCGAAAATCCATAATATTTCCGGTAAGAGGCACTATTGGTGTTGCATAATAGTTATTTTCTCCTACCTACGCCGAAAGTTCGGTTTTCGTCCCGCTGTACAGGGAAGAAAGTGTAACTTTTCCTCCCTGGGTACTGACAAGTGCGCATGCGCGTTAGTGTCTACGTCTGCTCTCACGCACTTAATATTCTCCGCCATTGTTGTGTTCGGGTAATTTGCAATATTGTATTTAGTGTAAAAGTGAAATAAACAAAAGGCAATAAAATTTAATAGTGAAGTATTAAACAAAGATGAGTTCATCAGACAGTTCTTAGTAGTAGTTTATTTAAAAATTAAAAAACAGTTAAATTGTTTTTTTATAAGTATGGGGGGGGGGGGCTCCCCCTACCCCCACCAGGGCTTCGCCCCTGGACCCCGGCTCGATACTCCACGAACTTTCGGCCTGGTAGGAGAAAAAACAGTATATACACAATGTACTATTTTTGAGATATATCGTCGTTGTCAAACCAAAATCTGCTATGTGCAAAAACTATATTTTGAATTAACGAGTAAAAAAAACATTTTCGTATAAAATTTTATATGAAAGTGAATTTTTAAGAACTAGTATCAAATGAAACCTATATATAAATATTAAAGCTATAGACACATAACAATTTTTTTTATACGGTAGATAGGGCTGTGAAAGTTATACGAAAATGTCAAAAAGTGAGAATCTCAAAAAGTTCACATAGCAGATTTTGGTTTGACAACGACGATATTTTTTTTTAAGGTAAAAGGAAAATACTCTCTTGACAGTAACATTTTTTGGTGGTTAGCATTGAGGATATCGCGACAAAAGTATCGCCCTTGAAGTATGAGATCGAAGCCTCAATTATAATAATATTTTATTCACGGCTCTTAAAATACAAATACGTACAAGAATTTATAACACTAGTATAATAGTAGACAAGGCTTTTTTATGAGGTAAGGTAGGCAGCGGCTTGGCTCTGCCCCTGGCATTGCTGAAGTCCATGGGCGACGGTAACCACTCACCATCAGGTCGGCCGTATGCTCGTCTGCCTACAAGGGCAATAAAAAAAAGTACACAATAGTACTTTTTTGTTGTTTAATTTTGTATTATTTATTAATCGATATGTTTCAGGGTCATCAGAGGGCACAGACTCGAACCAAGATAACATTAATGAGTACATATTAGAGAGAAACGTCTGTTACCAAGACTCCCTAACAGATTCCTTAAGCCAAGAGCTGAATAGGAGCATCGAAGGTCACTCGATTTGCAAAAAAGACATAAAGTCCCTCGAAAAAAGCACAGATAGCGGCGAGAAAAGCTCCAAGGACGCACCCAGCATCGACAGTAAGCTCAAAACGGACTTAATGGGAAGCGCCATGACCGATAGCACGAATCCCAACATGACCATCAGTAACTTCACCACAAACTCCAACATGACCACGAGCAACGACCAGACCAGCGGATACCCCATGTCCAGCAGCGGGGACGTACTGTCCTCGAGCATCGATTTGGACATGAAATTCGATCATTTCGGCGAATCGACAACCAATCTGGACAACCTCAAGGATTTGGAACGCAAAACTGACAGGACGAAAAGAGCCTTGAAAAGGACCGATGAAGTACAAAGCGCTGATATGGAGGGCTTGGTCGACAGCAAAGACGAGAAAGACTTTGAGTTTCAGCATCTATCCGATATTTTTCTGCTGCTGGAAGGTCACTGCGACCCGCAGATCAGGGGTCTGGTCAGGGTCTGCATTGGGAACTACTTGGCGGCCGCTCTGAATGCCTCCCACGGCGACTATAACAGATGGAGAAACTTTACTTCGTTGCCTAAAGCCGTCGGAGACTGCATGAGCGCTGGGGACCTGGTACAGATCATATTGAAGGTATGTTGGAACAAATGTTTGTCGTAATATGTAAAGCATAAATAATAGTTCAATTGGTTTAGTGATTGGTAACTTTATAGGTGATTGAGGTATTGTGGGCCCATGCGGGTAGTTCCATCTCGCTGGACTGTCATGTCCACCACCAATATTGAGACATGAGGTCTGGTAGGACGTCTTCTGAGTTCGTACGGGTAGGTACCACCACTCTGCCTATTTCTGCCATGAAGCAGTAATGCGTTTTGGTTTGAGGCGCGAGGCAGCCGTTGTACTGTTAAAAAAGTGAGTCCTTAGAACTCATGTCTCAAGGTGGGCGGCGAAATTTTCATTGTAGATCTCTATGGGCTCCAGTAACCACTTTACACCAGGTGAGCCGTGAGCTCGTCCACCCATCTAAGAAATAAACAAAAAGTAGTGGTCCCTGGTAGTCGAAATTCGACTATAATTCATCTAAATTATAAGTTAGTACACTATTATGATTCCACTATCAAAGACTATCCACAGATTCGGTAGAATCTGGCGCCAAGTTCCGTTCAAAAATCCTGTTGTAAACGGAGCGCCAGACTACCGACTGTGTTTACTGTAAGCAGAACGGTTTTTTGAGGTTGCGAAATTTTATTTAATTCTACGGTACTTCTGGTTCCTAAACTGTACATTATATCAATCACTCACACGGTTGCTTAATGGTGAACACGTATCGAGTGATTGTCTTATAAAATAATTACAAAACAGTGCAATTAAGTGACATACGAGTACAAACAAGTGTTTATTTCACCTGAACATTCACAAGAAGTTCAAATATATAGAAGTAGTAGCGCGAAATCAGTTTCTTCGTCGTCAAATTTGATCGAAGTGTGCACAACTAAACAAGGAAGATCATCAACAAGTAAATTAGATCAGCCATATTTATTACAATAGTGCCAACCTATACACCGAATCATAGACTAAGAAGAATAGCCGAATGACAGCGAAATATTCAATAGTGTGGCAAGCATTAAAATTATAAATTCTATCATTTGCTGTTACCATTTGCACAAACCCAAATTACCCTAGAAAATGGATAAAAATATGGAAATATTATGGTCAAAATTANCCTTACATACGGATGTCAAACATGGGCCCTAACAAAGGCACATGCTCGAAAATTAGAAGTTTGTCAAAACGCTATAGAGAGGAGCATGACGGGGAAAAGATTATCAGACAAAATAAGAACATCAACAATTAAAAAACAAACTCAATTAAAGGATGTCTCAGTTACAATAAGGAAACTTAAATGGAAGTGGACGGGGCATACTATAAGAGGACAGGAGAAATGGTGTAAAACTATAATGTACTGGTATCCGAGAGACAGAAAAAGAAACCGAGGTAGACCATTTAGGAGATGGGTGGACGACATTAAGGCAGTTGCGGGAAGCACATGGACCAGAACAGCTGAAAATAGAAGCTTATGGAGGCAGTTGGAGGAGGCCTATGTCTATAATAGACAAACAGACAATAACTAATAATAACATAGGTAAAAAAAAAAAAAAGCTTCCAAATTTTTTTTTAACTAATATTAATACCACTACTTACTTAAAACATAGTAAAAAAAAATAATTATTGTATATGTAAAAAAAAAAAAAAATGTAATTGTCTGAATAAAGGCTTTATTATTATTATTATTATTATTATATAACTGAGACCTTTAAGTCATGTCTTATTTTAATTTATATTCATATTTTTATGAAAAATGATATTATGGAGTGAAATGAAATGAAGATGATTAATTTGAGACATTAATCAACTGGGATGAAATGAAATGAGATGATATGGGATGAAATATAATCTCAGTAAAATGGTGGTCATTTATTAAGATCTCAGTGGACTTTTTGGAGGTTTTTTTTTTTTTTGGTCAGGAGGAAATCTTTTAATTTTAAAATCTGAAATAATTAAGAACAGCGTCATCTACCGTTCACATTTGAAACAATTTAATTCGGTTTAAATTTGTAAAAGTTGATGTTGATTATTATTACACTAATTAATTGAGCGTTTCATTAGCTTTTAAGCTGAGTGACTGTTTATAGTTTATTTTTATTCTATTGTCTATTTTTGTTAAGTAATAAATGAGCAAAAAATAATACTTAACAAAAAGATATGAAATCCGAACAAAAACAGTTTCACTGTAAAAAATTGCGCCAAGTCCACGTTCATAAAACTCATCTCAATAACATTTGCAATTTACAAAAAAAATAAGACTCATCTCAATAACTTTTATTCTCTACAAAAAGATGTGAAATACAAAAAAATACCAAGAAAGCGTCATAAAATTGAAAAAAACAAAAATAAAATTGTTGAAAATTTAAAAATAAAAAATAAAAAAAATTATCGTACTTGGCGCGCGTCATTGAGTACCCCAAAAATTTTCGGAAGAATTTCAACCCGAGAAAAAAACCATTTTGCTTTAATATACAGTGAAAGCTGAAAAAGTTACCCAGGTTGTCTTTTTCGCTCTTGTTAGCGTTTTATGAGAAATTGAGACAGAACTACAGTAATTTTCAACAGCTCTCACTATATACCTATGGGCTATTATATGCCAAATCGACCACTTTTGCGTTCGACCCTTTTAGATTCAGCTGAAACTTTATTATTCTTTTCTACCCTTTGAAAAACATTTTTGAGAATTTTTTCAAATGTTTTGAAGCCAACGTATACATACGTATCGACTCGGAAGTAGTTTGTATTTGTATAAGCGAACACGAGAGGGTGTTTAGTTCAAATCATAAAAGATGAGCGGGAAATTAAAAAAAATTCAAATAACATACGTATGAGATGTCGATTTTACCTAACTATTGTAAAACTTATTATGAAATAATAATTCATTAATTACATTTATGCATTTCATAGGTTGACCTACTTATAAATTTATAAACATTGAAAGGATGTTCATTTATCCTGAAAAAATTTGGGGTACTCAATGAATCGCGCAAAGTACGATAAAAATTTTTTTTTTTTTATTTTGAAATTTTCAACCATTTTTTTTTATTTTATGACGGTTTCTTGGTATTTTTTTGTATTTCACATCTTTTTGTAGAGAATGAAAGTTATTGAGATGAGTCTTATTTTTTTTGTAAAGTGCAAATGTTATTGAGATGAGTTTTATGAACGTGGACTTGGCGCAATTTTTTACAGTGAAACTGTTTTTGTTCGGATTTATTATACTTCTATAATCACAGATTTCGCCAAGAATACACTTTAGACAAATATTAATAAAGACGAACAATATTTAATCTTTTCTCAATTTGACCACAGACTATATTTAAGCTGTAAGAAAAGTTTGACAATCAACAAATAGTGTGCATGCGTGTGTGTGTCAAATGCACGGTAGTGGGTGTAATGTTTTTTTATGCATAATTTAAAAAAATACAAACATTCTGCACTCGTTTTCTATATTCTCTATAAGTGTGGGAAATTTTATATCCGTCCGCGCAAATTTCGTAAAGAGCTTTTGCTTCACGTATTGATATATAGATAATATTGTTTCCGTTGTCAGTGTAGCACTTATTGTATTGTCTTTCAGGGTCTAAGGGACGAAATACATTCAACAGTGAACCACAGCCTGTCAGCGCTGACCGGCCTGGCCGTGGCCCTCTCGGCTAGCTCAGACTGGTCCCTGCTCGTAGACGCGCTGACCTCGTTAGTGCACGTGGAGACCAACACGTATTGGCTGTGCAGGGTCAATCTCTGTAAGCTCTACGAAAGGATACCATATAAGAGGTGAGTTAGTGGAGCCGTGATGATTGTCGTGTCCGCCCATATCTACTGGTCATATATACTGGTGGTAGGACCTCTTGTGAGTTCGCGCGGGTAGGTATGACCTCCCTGCCTATTTCTGCCGTGAAGCAGTAATGCGTTTCGGTTTGAAGGGTGGGGCAGCCGTTGTAACTATACTGAGACCTTAGAACTTATATCTCAAGGTAACACATGTAAATTCAAACCTAATTGCCTCCACACTAACTATGATAAACTTTGGCCACTTTTGCGCTGACGGCCTCAATTAATAATCTCTACAATAGCAATTTTTTTGCATTTATTCACTTTTTTTTTAATTTTGTTTTTATTGCTTAGATAGGTGGACGAGCTCACAGCCCACCTGGTGTTAAGTGGTTACTGGAGCCTATAGATATCTACGACGTAAATGCGCCACCCACCTTGAGATATAAATTCTAAGGTCTCAAGTATAGTTACAACGGCTGCCCCACCCTTCAAACCGAAACGTATTACTGCTTCAACACAGAAATAGGCAGAGTGTTCGTATATACCCGTGCGAACTCACAAGAGGTCCTACCACCAGTAGATTTATAATACAAACCGAATAAAATATAACAAAAAGAAATTTCGTTCCAACCGGGTAGAGTTCGGGTAGAGTGAGAGATGAAATGTATATTTTTTTTCTAGATTATTTACGCTGTATCCGAGTTATCGCGCTAGAAGTCGAATGATAATGAACACGTTGATTGGTCTGCTCCGCGACCCGGATCAGAAGGTCAGAAGTGCCGCAGCGCACGCCATAGCGAAGTGAGTTTTAATTGATTTCATTAAGGTATATTTGACTAGCTTTTGCCGGCGACTCCATCCGCGTGGAATAGTAACTTTGGCAAAACGCTAAATTTTACTCGCATTTTTATTTCGCAGTGGAAGCTCTCAAAAGGGATTAAAACCCCGATTTTGAAACATTCTTTATTGTTGCTCCGCTTGCATTTGTCTTAGCGTGATGTTATATAGCCTATAGCCTTCTTCGATAAATGGACTATTTAACACTGAAAGAATTTTTCAAATCGGACCAGTAGTTCCTGAGATTAGCGCGTACAAACAAACAAACTCTTCAGCTTTATAATATTAGTATAGATGATGATGTTTGATTTATTAATAATTTATTCGAATGATTAATCGTTAAGTTACATCAATTGTATCACCTTAGTGAGTTAGTGAAGTCGTTTGTGAGCTAATTTATGTGACGTTAAATGAATTTAAAAAAAATGGCGCGCGTGCAACTTGGTGCATGTGAAAGAAGTGAAACTTCTTTTGCGGTGTGTAGTATTTTACATCCTTCAATCAAATTTCTCTCGTAACAAGGAATGCATGCTGTCTATAAAAGAAACGACCTAGCTCTCTTTATCCTTTCCCTCTCTCCACGGTCGAGTGGTTCTCGAGGCGATTTATCTATTGTCTCACTCTCGCTCCTCCTAAATTGTATCTTTTCTCTCTAGCCGTAACGAATCTGTCGCGAGTGAAATTTTACTCTCAACGAACCTAAAGAAGTTTAACTTCTAATTCGCATTGAACAATACAGTGCACTTAACTTTCGCCTCGCCTTATTTGTTATCGCGTTGTCCACAGCGTTATACCAACGATATACCCGCGAAGGAGACACACGCCGGCCACAATGGTAACTGAGTTAGCTAAGGAGTTAACGGACGAGGTGTCTTTGGATAGAGCGACGCTGTCTTTGCAAATAGTACGCGACATATACTTCTATCACGACCTCCCTCGGCAATTGACCGAAGGGAACAGAACGGACGGCGACACCCTCAAGATTGTTGTCGGAGACTTAATGGGTAGACTGATGGCCAGCAGCTGTAAACATTATTCGGTAAGCGACCTAAATAACATATGCCTTAAGATTGATTCTCAAATGTCCTTTTTTATAATATAATAATAATAATCATTTTAATACTGTTACGCGCTGGGGATAGGGATAAATAAAATTCTACCGAATTACAAGTTAAAACTGTATTAGCACTTAGAACACTTAAAAAATTTCACTTAAATGACAAACACTTTAAAATTCTCAATTCGCTTCTTCCGCTTCGCTTCAAGTGATCCGTTCGCTGTTTCGCTTCGAGTAATTTTTGCCTAAATACCTACACAGTTCCAATGAATTTTTCGCTTAATAATTTATGGTTTTGGGATTTGTATTAACATTCCACATTTTACTTCTCCAATCTGAGTTTTTTTATTCAGTTATGGGCGCTGGAAACAGGTACATATATAGTACACAAATATCTCGTACAAAGCTCCTTAGCTATATATATCAATTTTTTTTGCTTATGTGTGAGGACGAAGTTACGGCCTACCTAGTATTAAGTTATTACCGAAGCCCATAGACATCTACAACGTTAATGCCGTCACCCACCTTGAGACATGAGTTCTAAGGTCTCATTTAACAGTACAGCGGCTTCCCCGCCCTTCAAACCGAAGCTCATTACTGCTTCACGGCAGAAATAGGTAAGGTGGGTGGCGCATTTACGTTGAAGATGTCTATGGGCTCCAGTAACCACTTAACACCAGGTGGGCTGTGAGCTCGTCCAACCATCTAAGCAATAAAAAAAAAAGGTGATGGTATCTACCCGTGTGGACTCACAGACGTCCTTCCGCCAGTAAAAAACACTTTTTTGTATATCATCACATGTGTTCCGCAGCAAGGCTTACTGGAGGCGCTACAAGCGATACTAATCAAGTGGACTCCTTGGAAACACATAGACGCCTACTCCGGTCAAGGGATCCTGGGCTATTGTCTAGATAACCTGGACTATTGCAACACGAACGTTTCTATGAGGACCCTTCTTCTGGACCTGTGCCGTTTGATTTATCCAGGTATCCATCGAGATTCGTAGTATTCATTATTGAGTAGCTCTTTAATGTCAACTAGTGGTCGCCCGGTAATCGAAATTCGACTAGCTATTCGACAAAGCTATTCTCAATTTGACCACAGACTTTAACAATAAACAAAAGAGTACAGTCCGCGCGCGCGCTCCGAGGATTCGGGGGCTGAGTAAGCGGGCGGGCGTGCACCGCGCCCGACCGTCGCTTCATACCCCGCACTCTCCCACTACTAGTGTCGACTAGTACTAGACTAGTACTAGTTAAGACGTCAGAGTGCGCTTACCGACTCGTTGCTTTTAATTTTGCGATAGCAGTGTTATTTACGTGTGTTTTCTACTATAAATAGTATTTACACTTATAAGTGTTTTTGTTGGCACAAATAGCTATTTAATTTGAGGAAAAAGGAATGGCGAGCACTAGCATAATAAACATGCCTTAGCATTAGAGGAACATTACTGGTAAAAGGATGGCTTAGTGGAGGAAGTTGTCGAATCATTTATTATTGAAGTACGTGAGAAGAGTGACAATAGTACATCAAATTCTTCAAGTACTGATTAATCTGATTGCCACAGTAATCAATAAGATTTTACGTGCATTTTGTCCAATAAGTAGCAGTTCATTAAATTAAATTCATACGTGATCAATTGTTTTTTTTTTATTTGAAGTACATAATACCCTGATAGAACTATTATATAATTTACACTCGTACGGAGGCTTAAGATGTGTTAGTATCGATAGCGCAATATCGACTAATTACAACACTAGCTCATTACGTCAACATTCCTTAACATTCCTCGGAGCTCACGCGCGGACTGTATATACGCGTGTGTGTGTCGAATACATGGTAGTGTGTCTAATGTTTTATTTATTGATCTAATGTATTTTTTATAATAAAAAATATTCTGCATTCCTTCTCTATTTTTTTTTGTTTTTACGCAATGACTTTACTAGAATAAATGTTATTTACAGTTGAAGTGCACAACATAATGCGCAAAAGGACTGCTAGTAGAGATATATTTGAACGCGATTCGACTAGTAAAGGGAAGTGGCAACACCTCGACGGCGACAGGGTTGCCAGCTTAGCAGAGAAATTTCTCCAAGTAACATTGAAAATGCTGAATGTATTGGTTCATCTGATTGAGGAAGTTAATCCCAATGTACATTTGAATAAGGGCGGGATTGCCCTTCCCGGGAGTCCGGTTCGAAGGAAAACTCAAGGTATTTTAAATTAGCACCCAATTGTTGTTAATTCGAGGGTTTCAAAGTTTGTTTGCTTTGAACCCTAATTATTTTTATGTAGCCTCTTAAACTGGTTTTTATAACATCAGCTATGAGAGTCCAGTTAAAGTTGGCTCAGTCGTTTCTGAGATTAGTTGTAAAAGTTTTTTTTAATACAAAAAAAAGTGGTTATCATATAAGAGAATACTTTTCAAATCCTTTTAGTTATATGTCTGTATTTTGACATTAGGAACAGGCCCTTCACTTTTTATTTTATTTGTATAGATTCTATTCAAACTCGGAAGAATTCGACGGCGAGTGAAAGCTTAGATGACAAAGCCTCTCTAAAACGAAAGCCTTTAATGCCGGCAACGAGCTTGAGAGCGAACTTTGTGGGACACTTTTATAACGAACCGTTCTATATGAAATTGTACGAGGGCTTAAGAGCAGCTTATTCGAATCATAAGGTAATAATTTTTTTTTCTCTCTAGGATACGTAAGGCCATATTTTAAATTTATGAATAATATAATTAATCAACATATAGTTGGTGTTTGGGACATAAAAGGTATTTTTGAAGCGGCTTACCGAGAAAAAAAAACAACCATTCTAAAACAGTAATTGGATTATCACAATAACATATGTTTTAAATCCTATTCAATATAGTTAAAGATCCCTTTATACACTACGTTTCAGAAAATCGACTATCGATATTTTTTTTATTTACAGTAGCCCATCCCTACTAGCACAGAAGACTCAAAAAAACATACTGAATTTTAATTTCAGATAAATCTCGACCCTAAATCGAGCATATTCCACACGTTTCTATCGACCACTCTGGACTGCCTCGCCGTGCAACTGGAACTGTCCACCGAGAAGGAGTTCGGCTCCGTCACAGAAGAGATCCTGTACTACCTCAAGGCAATAATGCCCTTATGCGCCGACAATACGGTCTATTGTGTGACGCAGCTGTTGAAATGTTTATTCGGGACGAACATGGTGGCGCAGTACGACGATTACATGAGCATCAGCGACAAGAATGAGGGCAGCCGGCAGACCAGCTTCTGTGAGGACGTGTGGACTCGCGCAGACCACGGCTCCAGGAGGAGCAGCGTCGGCTCGAATGCGAGTCAGAAGCTGTGTCTGGACATCAAGAACCCCAGGATGGCGGCGGAGAGGCAACTGCTGATCGCGCTGGAGAATTTCGCCAAGAACAAATCTGATAGGAAGTGGAGTACCAATAAGGAGGAGCTGGAGAAATATATTAAGTTATTTGAACCGGTTGTCATACAGTCTTTGAAGGTATGTTATTATTGTGACGTCAGTTTTTTTTTTGCTTAGATGTGTGGACGAGCTCGCAACTCACTTAGTGTTAAGTGGTTACCGAAGCCCATAGACATCTAAAACGTCAATGCCGCCACTCTCTTTGAGATATGAGTTCTAAGGTCTCAGTATAGTTATAACGGCTGCCCCACCCTTCAAACCGAAACGCATTACTGCTTCACGGCAGAAATAGGCAGGGTGGTGGTACATACCCGCACGGACTCACAAGAGATCCAGATAATATGGATGAACTCTGCTCCGATGGCGGGAGGTGCGATACAGGTGCGGTTGTAACAACACCTATGCTGTTTGGTTACAGAGCTACACAATGCAAAACGACATTCCACTCCAGCGCCAAGTGCTAAGTCTGCTGAACCAACTGTTGACCCTGAGGGTGAACTACTGCATGCTGGACAACGATCTGATCTTCATAGGCTTCCTGATGAAACAACTAGATTTATTCGAACAACATGAAATACCGTAAGTTTTTATTTACTTTAACATTTTCGGTATTAATTTTATTAGTTATCGAAGCTTTAGGCTGCCTGTGCACCGGAGCGGAGCGAGGCAGTGGAGCGGAGAAACGGAGAAATATTAACCAATAAGATCGCACAAAATCTCCGCTCCACTTTAGTGGACAGGGAGTGAACTGACTCGTCGCGTAGGTACTAAACTCTATTCCGCATTACTTCCTCGCTCCGCAGCCTCGTTCCGCTCCGGTGAACAGACACAGTACGCAACTCCGCTCCGCCCTACTCCGTCACTCCGTTCCGGTGGACAGGCAGTCTTAGAGGCTCCCTTTAACAGTAATATTACCCCATTATAGACATACTATAAATTTAAATGGCACTTTAACTAACATGAGTTTTATGTTACTAACATCAGTTTACCCTGCCACAGTAATGTATTTCAGTTTGAAGGGTGGGCCAGCCGTTTTACTATAAAACTCATATCTCAAGACGGTTCGTGGCATTTACGTTGTTGATGGGCTCCGGTGATCACTTAACAACAGTTGGTTTATGAGCTCGACGAAAATACAAACTTGTAATTTTGTATGATAATAAAAAAAACTTATTTATTTTGATTTCAGGAATTGTTGCGATTTGGTGAACAGCATCCTCATGTTTTTGGTGCAACTGTCGTCTTCCAAGCATCACACGAAGAAGATCATTGAAATACCGAAAGTAAGTGTTCCACTAGTGTGTGGGCAAGAGACCTCGAAATCAGAGTCAGAAGGCCGGATGTCTACGGCAACTTTGTCCTAATGTATTGTATATTTCTTGAATGTTAGACCCCATGTTATGAAGTGTCGCCATTCAATTTGTAAAGGTGACTATTTAGCAAAATTTAATTTTTATTTTTTTTATTTTAATAATTATTGTTATATTATAATACTTTGTATTAATTGTATGTATATTTACGGAGATATGTATGTGTATATGTATGTGTACATATACGTATATGTATTTCACTGGAATGGTACACCGCGCGTAGTTCGTTTCCAAATGATTCTTGTCCACCTGATGGTTGTCTGGAAGAGATCGCTCTTAGCGATAAGACCGCCAATTGTACTTTTTTTGTTTTTAATGTATCGCACTGTTTATTTGTTTTTCTGGTGTACAATAAAGAATACTATCTTTCTCTCTCTCTTTAATGTACCGTGAGCGGGTGACCCCTTAACACATCTGTTGCAGTCTGTTGTCTTCCGATTAATAATCAGTTACCATTACCTATGATCTTCTATACTAATATATAAATCTACAGTGGTTTTTACGGATGCTCCGTTATAACTACTGAACCGTGCATCCGATTGACTTGAAACTTGGTATCCATGTAGAAAATACATGTACTTAATGGATAGGCTAATATTTATACGAGTGTTGGACTCCCTACACCAGTTGCGGGGGGCGTTAATGATGAGAATCTTTGTGGGGGTGAGAAATGATAATGTTAATTTTAAATGCCCAGCGAAGCGGACGGGTACAGCTAGTCTTTCATAAGTATATTAAATTTGATTGAGTATTGAACCTGAAACACGTAGTTTAATCAGGCTAAAGAGGAACTCGAGCAGCGGTCAGGGAACATTTTTAATTATTACCCCAAAATATTTTTGTGTAAGTTGATATTACGCCATGGCGAAGAACAAAAAAAAAACGAAATCGCTTCTTTTTAGCATATTTCATATTATAGACCCCCCTGATAATCTTAAAAAGGAAAAAATAACTAAAAAATTTATTTATACATAATTTATTCAATTTATAAATGTAATACATAACGGTAATAATAGTAATATATGTAATATACAGTTGAGGGAAAAAAATCGCCCCCACAGCAAAATAATAGTAAATGATAATTTCTTGTTATTTTATAATTAAAATGATATTTTTCTTGTATTATTAGACGAAAAAACTAGTTTAAATTTTATATATTTATAGCCCCCATAAAAACTATTTTTTTAATGTAAATGATTTTCTTCTGTTTTACCCCCCAAAATTTCATTCTACCCCATTTGGGGTAATTTACCCCGGTTCCCCGACCGCTGAACTCGAGCAATGAGGTAATAAGTCGGTGGTGTGTTCCAGTTAATCCAGTTGTGCGATGGTCTGATGGCGTCGGGGGCCCACGCGGAGTGCATCGCCGGTCTAGAACCCGTCGCTGTCAAAGTCTTCAGCAGTATGGGAGGTGAGTACTTGACGGACCTCACATGCCATAGAGCAGCGGTCGGGTAACCGGGGTAAAGTACCCCAAATGGGGTAAAATGAAATTTTGTGGGGTAAAAATGAAACTTGTGAGTAAAAAGTATATATTGAAGTGAAACTTTTTTAGAATCGTTAAAATTTTAATTATTGTTTTCTTTTCAAAATTATTATGGGGGCTATAATATTAAAGATACTAAAAAGAAGCGATTTCGTTTTTTTGTTCTTCGCCCTGAGGTAATATCAAGTTACACAAAAATATTTTGGGCTTATAATTAAAAAAGTTCCCCGACCGCTGACACAGAGGATCACTTGTGATCATCGACGAATTAAGACGACTTTTCCCGTGTAATAAAAATCAAACTCCCAAAATGGATATAATTTATTAAAATGGATATTAGGCGTTTCGGTCAGAGGGGTGGGGCAGCCGTTCTACTATACAATTGTGAGTTAGACCTCATGTCTCAAAGTGGATGTTGAGCTCGTTCAATAGTACAAATACATATATGCGGGAAATAAAATTCTCGCGACCCTTAAAGCGGGAATTAGGATATCGACACTTGAAAGGCAAACGTGACTAAGCGACAATGCGTGAACTTTACAGGAGACTAATTTAAAGTTGAAATACCTGAAAAAAAATATTATTTTAACGAATCTAGCTGTAGGATTGAAATGATTTTAATAGACCTAGAAATATATTTTTTTTGCGCATCGAATATGGTTATTGCCTATCATTTATGTACAAAGCAGTTATTGTCGCTTAGTCGCGTTTGCCTTTCAAGCGTCGATTGTCTTGAGTTGCTTATCTATAACTAATTTATGTATATTAATCTATGGTTGTGAATGTGGTATATACAAATTTTGTTGTTTAATCTTATACAGTAATGATGTTTGCGTGAAACGTCGAAGGTGCCAGTCTTTGATTTGCCGTTAGCAACGCCATCTATCGTTGAATGTTAAATGTGAGCGTCGACTGTAAATATCGATAATTTTGAATAGAGTTCGGTTTCAGGTAACGTGTTAGGCCGAGCTCAACAGCAAGAGGCGCAGGCGACCAGAGAAGTGCTCTTCTATATGCTGCAGAAGACCATGCATCAACAGAAGGTATCGGCTTTAGTATAGCTATCCAAGTACAGGGTGTTCCGCCTTAAAACGGACCTTTAATTACAAAGATGAATGTTGCGAATTAAGGGAAATGTCGCTTAAGCCAAATATCCTTTCACTCCTCGATAATATGGGGATTATGTAATGTGGGTATAATATTATATAATTAACAAGTGCGTGCGCCAAGCCTTAGTTCGCGAACTATGAAGAACATCTGTCAAGGCTTTAATAAGCATTAGATTACCTGGAACCGCTGCGTTCATCCACAGTGCGTTTCCAGAGATCATTTTTGCCACGTATCATCTGGCTTTGGAATGAGCTCCCCTCCACGGTGTTTCCCGAGCGCTATGACATGTCCTTCTTCAAACGAGGCTTGTGGAGAGTATTAAGCGGTAAGCGGCGGCTCGGCTCTGCCCCTGGCATTGCTGAAGTCCATGGGCGACGGTAATCACTCACCATCAGGTGGGCCGTATGCTAGTCTGCCAGCTTAGGCAATAAAAAAATTAAAAAAAAAACAGGAATTCCACATGACCACAACTGCTCTGCCAAGAGCAACCGACTGTAATGAATTAATATCCAGTTAATAAATTGAGAATTCTATTTTAGGTGCTAGAGCTAGTGTCGTGTATACTGTCTCTGACGCAAGAACACCCGGAGAGCTACTATCGATACTCGGAGCTGGCCACCGACACGTTGCTCAACTTGTTGTCTCAGAGGTCTGTAGAGCTGGACTCATGTCTAGCAGTGTCGGCGCTAGAGCGATTGCTAGAGACGGTGTATAAGGACGTTCTGCTAGAGCAGAGCCGGGTCGAGGTGCTACTGAAGATTCTGTTTAAAGCACCACCAGATCAGGTAGATTTTTTTTTTAAATTTATATTAAATTAACCATAAGTTTCCAGTTATTGAGACTTTAGAACTCATATCTCAAGATGGGCGGCATTTACGTTGTAGAATGTCTATGGGCGTTGTAATCACTTAATATCAGGTGGGCCGTGAGCTCGTCCCATACAGGCCCATAGATATATCCCTACCACTAGTAAATGCGCAACTTTATAAATATTGTTACGCGCTGGGGTTCGGGATAAACAAAATTTCACCAACGTACAACTTAAAAACTGTAACACTTAAAACACTCAACAAACATTTTAAAACTCCCAATTCGCTTCTTCCGCTTCGCTTCAGGTGATCCGTTCGCTGTTTCGCTTCGAGTAGTTCTGATTACTGACCGACTGCGTGCCATCTCTACAACGCTTTTACAGCCGATACCTCATTCTTAGAATTATCGAGAATACTCCACACATCTCTAGTAGTAGTTTCCGATATCTGTCAATAGATGGCGTTATACTTCTCGAGCGTTCTAGCTGCTACTAGATCCTTCGATATTCGTTCGACTATTCGGCGATAGATGGCGTTACTGTTACCGGCGTAACAATATGATTTATATTACACCAGTATTAATATATTAAGTATTTATTTCCTTAGAGAATTTGGTATTCCGGCACAGTCTCGTCGCTCGATACGAATGCACCGCCTTATCCATTAGGTCACGATTTAATCAGTATATATTTTTTTTGTTTTCAGTCCACAACGCCACCGAAGCTGAAACTCCGCTATCTATCAATAATAATGGTGCTACTAAGGAAGGTGCTGGTACTGATACCGGAGAGCGAGATATTATTATCGATCAACTACTTGAAGTCGACCTGCGTGTCGCCGCAGTCGATCTTCTTTAACGCGAAAGCGGACGTGGACCCGCTCAACGTGCTCAACGTGAACGAGAACTGCGCGAATCTGTCCCCTGACGTGGTGCTCGTAAGGTTCCTTTTCAAAACGTTGACTTACGCCGTTACGGAAGTGGAGAAGAATTACGAGCCGAATCCGAAGTACGATACTGACGAGAACAGGTTGCTGTATTCCGTGTGCGTCAATATCGTCGTGCAGGTCAAGCAGATGTTGCATTTGACTAGTAAGTGGGCGTTTTATTTACGAGTGCGTAGGCAGCTGACTGGCCCCCGTGCGTTTTTTTTTTATTGGTTTGATGGGTGGACTAGTTCATAGCCCACCTGGTCTTAAGTGGTTACTGGAACTCATAGACATCTACGACGTAAATGCGCCACCCACCTTGAGATATGAGTTCTAAGTTCTCAAGTATAGTTACAACGGTTGCCCCACTCTTCAAACCGAAACGCATTACTGCTTCGCGGCCGAAATAGTCACATTATAATTTTGCGGGTTTGATTTTTATTACACGACGTTATTCCTTCACCGTGGAAGTCAATCGTGAACATTTGTTGAGTACGTATGTCATTAGAAAAATTAGTAACCCGCCTGCAGGACTCGAACACCGGTGCATCGCTCAACATGTATGCACCGGACGTCTTATCTTTTAGGCCACGACAACTAATACAAACAATCGAGCTATACAAGCGTGGTGTCTTCCAGCGGGCTGCCTGTTCCCTCTGATATCGAAGACGGCGCAGAGTCTCCTGCACAACGAGCAGAGCGGCCTCAACACGGGCCTGTACAGTCCGGACGAGAACATTCCGCTCGACACACTCAACATGATATGCCTGCGAGCTGCCCACGCGCTGCCCCTGCTCACCGCGCACTGGTCCCATTTGCTCATCAGGTCAGTGATTAAAAAGGATTGCCCAAAATAAATACGCACTGGATAGCCGTGGCAGAGCCATCTGAAATCTCCTAATACCCACTACTTCAAAATAAACTATGACCAGTATGGCTGGTTTGATCAAAAGTTGGCTGTGGTTCTTAAACATGTTTCTACATGTATGGGCAAGCGCGCACATTGTGTTGCATACATTTTTCATCAGAGACATTCATTCGAAGTAAAGCGTCGCGTACTCGTCAGTTGGTTTAAGCTTATCAATAAATAATTTCTAAAGTTGTCATCATCATTATTACAACAAAAGGACACACCGTTCAATACAATGTTAGTAGTAGTTTTCGTAGACGGTAATATGAGGGTAGATAGTAATGTGAGGGTAGACGGTAAATTGAGGTGGGGTCATCTTAAAAAGACTTATGGGATTTTTTTTCCCTAATGATTCCAGTGGGTGAGCTCGTGAACTCAATCCGAGAGAATTTTTTAACACTAGCCCTAGCTAGAGCAGTGTTTCGCAATATCTACCACCGGATCAGAAACGCGACCCACAGAAGATTAGGCGAGAAACTTAATGGGCTGTGTCTATGGGATACGTGAGTGCAAAGATGACGTATGAACGTATACTGGTGGTAGAATGTCTTGTGTGTCCGCACGGGTAGATACCACCACCCTGCCTGTTTCTGCCGTAAAGTAGTAATGAGTTTCGGCTTGAAAGGTGGGACAGCCGTTGTACTATACTGAGACCTTAAAACTCATATCTCAAGGTGGGTGGCGGCATTTACGTTGTAGATATCTATGGGCTCCGATGATCAATTAACACCAGGTGCGCCGTGAAAAAAAAACCTACTGTGCCAACCCTGCATAAGGAGGGACAAGGACAAGAAGATCTCCGGTTCACTATTGTGATGTTCCGTTTCAGATTGAACTTCCTGACGCACAAGTATTGGCAGAAGCTGGTCGGCTTCGTCCGCAGCTTGCCGCTGTGCGCCGGCGGCGGGCTCGCGGCGCCGCTCAGGGTCGACGTGCTGCAGATAGCCTGCGTCATGGCTTACTGTGAATATTTCGTGAGTGTCCCTCATATACAGCCGCGTAAACCACGCACAGGGTGTTGTATTTTATCAACAAATGATAGAGTTTTTTTATAAATGCCTCAATAGTAAAACGAAAAGAGTAAATGCAATAGAGTCAAATGAATCGTAAATCTTGAGGTGTTATAGTCGGATTTCGAGTAAAATTAAACTCGAAAAATTTACTAGTGACGACATCGTGATAACTAAAATAATTATTTATTTTTTTGTGAGAAAAGAACAAAGTAGATTTTGTGTATCTTTTAAATCTTTAAAGCATAAAGTATTAAAATCCAAGAACTGAAAAATTACATTTCTTCAACTACATTGGATTAAGGCACTTCAATTCTAAAGGTATGGTATTATATGTAGTACTCATGTCCATTTATATCGTTGACAGGTAGAAAACGGTCTTACCGAAGCGGTACATCTGACCTGGCTACTGGTGAACAGAGTTCATATACTAGTCAGTCAGTTCTCTCAAACTCTGGTCCAGGGTCTCATCTCCAGAGTTCAGCAGACGAGTGGAGCGTCCGGCTTGCTGCTGCAGGCCATCGCCGCTAGATGTCAGGGCTGTTTGAAGGTGAGGAGGCAATAGGTCAATCGAGACACGACTTAATGTAATAGAATTAAAACAATAATTCAGTCACAATCCTTGTGAAACATCAATGACTTGAAGTACTTTGATAAATCTCTATATATAAAAACGAATTGCTGTTCGTTAGTCTCGCTAAAACTCGAGAATGGCTGGAACGATTTGGCTAATTTCGATCTTGAATTATTCGTGGAAGTCCAGGGAAGGTTTAAAAGGTGAGAAAATATAAAAAAAGCTCGAAATCATATAAAAACAAAACAATTTTGTTTTTCCTTTGATGTGTCCCCTTGATGTGTCTTTTATTTATCGATTGAGGCAGTACGAAGTCTGCCGGGTCAGCTAGTAACTTAATAAAATATAAAAAAAAATATTTTCATCCATTGTTAACGTCGAAATAATCCGGTCATCGTTCTCGTCGAACCCGTCGCGACGAAGGGCTCGGCGAGTAAATTAACCCACAGACACAGCCCACTGAGTTTACGGCGGATCTTTTCAGTGGGTCGCGTTTCCGATCCGGTGGTAGATTCTGCGAAGCACTGCTCTTGCTAGGGACAGTGTTAGCAATGCTCCCGGTTAGAACCCCGTGAGCTCACCTACTAGTTAAGGTTACACTGAAATAGCCTCTCAAGGCCATCAGCTTAGGTAGGAAAAAAAACTAAAAAGCCCCGTGAGCTCAGCTACTCACCCGGTTACATTGAAGAGGTCTCTCAAGACCATCAGCTAGGAAAAAAAACCAGATAATTCCATATTACGGCTGCCTTTATTGTCATTATGCGTTCTATAGTCAATTTTTAGTCAGCATAATTATTTTGGCCTCTAATGACGTCACGCGTTATTTAATTCTGTTTCCTCGAGTTATTTAACGTGCAGACGGCAATTTAATAAAAAAAACCGTCCGAGCGTAGCCTCTTAGACTGCCAGCGAAAAGATAGAAAAAAAATAATTAAAAAACTATGTATGTTCCCTGTTTCTAAATATATTGTGGTCAAATTATTTTGTTATCTCTTTGCTTTCAAATATCTTGTTTGTATAGTTTAAATATCGCGTTCGTTGATCGCAATGTATGCGTGTATATATATTTATATATTGCTGAACCGCCTTAACATCCACAGCGTTACTTGAATATTCACGTTCACAAAGATTCCTTTCCCCAGGACGAGTTCGCTCTGAACGTGTACAAGATCCTGTCGTTTAGCCACGAGAGTCAGTCCGGGGCGCTGGTGTTCCTCATATGCCGGATCATCGGGAAACTGGAGCCCGCCATCGCTGTCAAGTACGTGGCCTGTCGAACTGTGAAATGAAATTGATAGATAGATACGACCGTTTGGAACCTCTGGGTCTGCGGAGGGACTTCGGTTTCCTCTGTATTTTGTACCGTATGTTCCATGGGGAGTGCTCTGAGGAATTGTTTGAGATGATCTCCTCATCTCCTTTTTATCATCGCACCTATCGCCATCGGATCAGAGTTCATCTATATTATCTGGAACCGCTGCGTTCATCGATAGTGCGTTTCCAGAGGTCTTTTTTGAGAGAGAAGGAAGAGGAGAAGAGGAATTAAATAAAAATAACACTTTTGTTATTACTTTGATTTGTGCCCCGTCAGACGGATTCCTTTTGTTTGTTTTAAGTTTATTTTATACAAAAGTTTAAGTCTTTTATTTATCGATTAAGGCACTACGAAGTCTGCCGCATCAGCTAGTTCTGAACAAAACATTCCAGGTTCGCAAAACTGGCGATAGAACGTTGTCGTGCGCTCAAAGACGTGCCGCCCGACAATATGAACGCGCAACTATCGAAAGAGGACGTCCAAGTCGCGTTGGAGCTTTTGCAGCGGGACAAAGTTCACGTCAGGTAAACTTAACATTACGTATCTTTAGTATCGAATCGGCTTAATCTGGCTTAGTCTGCAAAGGTAGCTACCACCGCCCTGTCTGTTTCTGCCGTGAAGAAGTTACTTGTTTCGGTTTGAAGGGCGGGGCAGCCGTTGTAACTGAGACCTTAGAACTTATATCTCAAGGCGTGTGGCGGTGCTTACGTTGTAGATGTCTACATGCTCCAGTAACCACTTAACACCAGGTGAGCTGTGAGTTCGTCCACCCATATCAGCAATAAATAAAAAATGATTTCTTGGTAAACACTAAAAATGTAATTAAATCGTATTTTTCGATTTTAATACTTTAAGTTACATAATATGCGCTTGATTTTAAAGAGACGGAAAGAGTACTTTGTCCTTTTCTAGACTAACGGAGAAACTCATAGAATAGAAATGTTTATAGATTTCTTAGTTAAACCACTTCAATTCTAAATGTACAATTTATTATTAGTGAACCGATTTATTTATTTTAGCGATTTATATATATTTTTTAAATCAGGTACCCGGCGCTGGTGATAGAATTGAACTCCTTAGCGTCGAGCGTGTTCGACTTATCGCCTCTCGACTTGTCGCAGGACCGAGCGATCAACCCCCAGCACGTGCTGACCACCAATGTCGATTCCGGCTGGCTCTTGAACCAGATTAAAAATAGGTATGTTCTTTTCTCTCTTTGTTTTGTTGTCATCTCTCTTGTTTGCATATAGTTAAGTTTTTTTTTTAAAGCGGTCTTATGACATTGTAACTAAAACCTTTAAGTCATGTCTTATTTTAATTTATATTTTTATTTTTTTATGAATAATGGTGGTAGGATCTGGTTGGACCTCTTGTGAGTCCGCTCGGGTAGGCACCACCGTCCTGCCTATTTCTGCCGTGAAGCAGTAATGCGTTTCGGTCTCAAGGGTAGGGCAGCCTTTGTAACTATACTGAGATCTTAGAACTTATATCTCAAGATGTGTGGCGCATTTACGTTGTAGATGTCTATGGGTTCCAGTAACCACTTAACACCAGGTGGGCTGTGAACTCGACCACCCATCTAAGCGATAAAAAAAAATGGAGTGAAATTAAATGGAATGAGATGAGATGATATGGGATGAAATATAATTTCAGTAAAATGGTGGTCGTTTACTGAGATTTTTTCAGCGGACTTTTTGGAGGATCCCGAGAAGTTACGTCCAGCGAGTTTGTTTCATTTTCCCACATTTGTGCATTTTCACAGATATTAAACAGTTAATAAACCACCGTTATTACACATTTAAACCTGAAGAAACTCTTGATAGTCAAAATAAAACAAATCACACATTCACTCCTCGCATTCCCGTCAAAAAGTCGCATATAACCTGTACTCGTATCGCTTCACAGATGCTGCAGGTCTGACTGTGTCCCACCGAAGCTGTCGAAGCACAACCACCTGGCGGAAATACTCTCGAACCTCTCCCACGAAGACCTGAGCACCGTGATGTCATGCCCGGAATTCGAAAGGAAAATTCTATGTTCCTCATTTAAAGTGGCCAGCGACAGCTACTTGAGGGAGTTCCTCAACGTCTACGCGGAACACGAAAGGAAAGAGCTAGAGAAAGATAAGGCAAGAGAACGAATCGGCTTGAAGAAGGATGAGGAGATGACATCATCGATCGACAGTAACAAACTAACAGTCGCGAACACGCTGCACGTGTTCAAGAAGAGCGACAACAAGGAATCGAAATCTCAATTCTTCATACCGATAGCGGACAACGAGAAGGAGTTTGGGAATTTGCAGCTTACTGACGACGAAATAGAGTTGAGTTTGCCGGAGCTGCCGGTGATGTACCGCGTCGCGTTATCGACGTTCGACAGGTCCCTAATTGAAGTTATACGGCTGTTCCCGAAACAGAACCGGCCGCTGAGCCAGTCGGAGAACTTCGATTTGAACGTTGAACATACAGTGGACCGTTATACGCGCCGATGCCACCAAGTGTTCCAAGACAAGCTGTTTTACCACGAGTACGTGACGCTGCAGACGGTACTTACCGGCTATCTGGACGCTGCGACAAGAATAATGAACGCCATAGACGAGGCCGACTGTGATCTATTAGAAAAATGCATCGAGAACATTCTGCCGCTGACAATAGCCAAGAATATTTCGGTTTTTTGCGTCATTTCCCTGCAGTACTTGTCGTTTTTAATTAAGAACAAGAGTATTGTCGAGTCGCCCGTGCACGCGGACGTCTCGTTTCGGGCCACGGACGCTGCGACCCGGCACGTGACAGTTGACAGCCTCGTCGCGGTGACAGTCGAGAATGTGTCAAAAGCTTTAGCCGTCAGAGAGATCTGGATGGAGTTGAACGCCGATAGCAACGCTAATAGAACCCGATCTGCGATCAGCTGTTTATACGCCGTCGTCAAGTACTTGGTCAAGGTATGTACAATTTGTATATTTAAATATTATTCTTTTTTTTTATTTATTGCCCTTGTAGGCAGTCGAGCATACGGCCCACCTGATGGTGAGTGGTTACCGTCGCCCATCGACTTCAGCAATGCCAGAGGCAGAGCCGAGCCGCTCCCTACCGCTTAAAATAATTCAAAACAAAAAATATTTACGGTCCATTTGGTTTTGAGTGGTCACAGAAACCCATAGTCATCGAAATAATTGCCTTAGAAGAAACCTATCAGTTTTATTGATAATGAAAACTTAAATTTATCTATTTAAGTTGAAAAATCTAATCTAGTGTTTTTTTTCACTGATTATTTAAGTTTTTTTCAATATTAATAATATATATAATATACTCAAACTCAAATATACTCAAACAATTTTTTTCTAAATGCAACGAATTCTAAAATAAGTTTACAGTTCGAAATTTTATTAACGACGTGTCCCTCATTCGAGTCGAGTTTAGGATCTAACAGTGTCTTTTTAGTGCGAGTTTTTTAACGTTCTCGACAGCGTTAAAGGTTAACTTAATAAATTTGTATGTAGTTGGAACGTTTGCCCACGTTTGCCGCTAGGGGCGCTGTTCCTACTCCATACAAATTTAAGTTAACTCTTACGCTGTCGAGAACGTTAAAAAACGCGCACTAAGCACACTGTTCTCAAGTGCTAATAGTAGCCAGGAGACATGACGTCACAAGTCTCCCTACAGTCATAAACGAAATTTTTGCAGGACACAAAACCTCTCCTCCTAAAACATTACATGCGAACTGAAGACTCCGGTCCAAAGCCGGATATACTTGTAACCGGCGATAAGCTGGTCACCCTTGTCGAATACTGGGAGGACAATTTCTACGCCGGTCATGGATATGTAATGCCCAAATGCTATAAAAAACCGTTGGAGAGTATGCTTGTCAGTTTGGCCAGGTGAGATCCATTGTTTTGTTTTTACTTATTACAATTGGGCAGATGACCTCTGTTGCTTATATCATTATTACAATTGCAGTAAAGCAAGCATATTTAGTATAAATTTAATAATGTTATATGATTAGATATAAGTGTTTACTGTTTACATATATCTATTCTATTTATATAATATAATACCGAGGGGTAGTAGGCTATTTGGTTTAATTTCGCTTAACACGCGACATTTATCTTTGTAATTTGTTTTGGGGAGTGCTCTGAGGAATTGTTCGAGATGATACCGGCATCTCGTTTTTATCATCGCACCGCCCGCTACCGGAGTAGAGTTCATCCATACTACATGGAGCCGCTGCGGTCATCCACAGTGCGTTTCCAGAGGTCTTTTTTGCCACGTACCATCCGGCTATGGAATGAGCTCCCCTCCACGGTGTTTCCCGAGCGCTATGACATGTCCTTCTTCAAACGAGGCTTGTCGAGAGTATTAAACGGTAGGCAGCGGCTTGGCTCTGCCCTTGACATTGCTGAAGTCCATGGGCGACGGTAACCACTCACGATCAGGTGGGCCATATGCTCGTCTGCCTACACGGGCAATAAATAAATAAAAAGTTTACTCTATTCATATAGCTAAAGAAGGTTTATTGTTTAAATATATTTTTTTCCAATATTTAGACTTTAAATGGCTCTCCTGTAAAGTTGCGATAAATGTCGCTTAAACGATATCATAATATTCTAAAATTAGGTTTTTTGTATATTGCTTAGAAGGGTGGACTAGCTCACAGCCACCTGGTGTTAAGTGGTTACTGGAGCCCATAGACATCTACAACGTAAATGCACCACCCATCTTGAGATATAAGTTCTAAGGTCTCAAGTATAGTTAAAACGGCTGCCCCACCCTTCAAGTCGAAACGCATTACTGCTTCACGGCAGATATAGGCAGGGTGGTGATACCTACCCGCGCGGACTCACAAAAGGTCCTACCACCAGTAAAAATATTTTGTTAAATGTTTTGGTTAAACTGCGACTGCAAGGAATGAAGTTTTTAATTGAATCTCTTATTGTCACTAATGTTCACTAATGTTCTGATTGCAGATTAGATGTTGTGAGTAACGTGGCGCTTATCCCACCGATAGCCTGGTCGACAGTCGAGGTGGCCATGAAAAAGGACCAACTGCAGAAGATAGAGCTTCCGCTCCAAGCTCTACAAGATCAGGATGTTCTCGAAGCTTTTCTATTCAGGTAGAGATGACGTCTGGTATTTAAAAGTAGTAAAAAAAAACCAAAATCGTGGTTTGAACTGTACATCCTACGGTTTAACCCTTTGATTTTCGTGTAGGTACTGAAGTAATTTCTGTGAAGTACTACTCCTGCTAGGACTAGTATTAGCAACGCTGGTTTGAGCCCCGAGAGCTTACTTACGCGTTAGGGTTAGGCTGACATACCCTCTCAAGGCTATCAGACTAGGTAGGAAAAAAGGAAGTAATTATGTCGATATCTGTTACTAAGGTAGTAGTAGACTCTGGGAGAGACCAAACCGAAGATACTCAGATTGAATCTATTTCTAAGAGGCCTAAAAAACTAAAACATACCTTAATAAACAAATGAGGGCTTAGTTTGGCAATTACTGGTGGTAGGACGTGTGAGTCCGCACGGGTAAGTACCACCGCCCTACCTATTTCTGCTGTGAAGCGTTAATGCGTTTCGATCTGAGGGATAGGGCAGCCGTTGTAACTATACTGAAAACTTACAACTCATATCTCAAGGTGGGTGACGCATTTACGTTGTAGATGTCTATGGGCTTCAGTAACCACTTAACACAAGGTGGGCTGTGAGCTCGTTCACCCATCTCGAACTCACAAGAGGTCCTACCACCAGTAAACGCACCACCAGTACGCATTTAATTGGAAAAATTGGTATCCGCTTGTGGGATTCGAACACCGGTATAATCGATACAAGAACGCCGGGCACCTTATCCTTCAGGCCGCGATAAGTGTACCTACTATAGTTATTTGGTCTACATGTAATATGTTTGTGTGCAGGGTCAATCTGATAGGCTGGTCGAACAAGAAGCAGTTCGAGGAGATATGGGTGGGGCTGCTGGGCGCGCTGCAGGGGAACGGGCCGCACTGCGCCGTGCGCGGCGTCACCCAGCTGCTGCTGAGCGCGCTGCCCCGCCGCGCCGCCGCCCCGCTGCACGTGCCCCGCGCGCACCCCCCCGCACCTTCCGGCGGGTGAGCACGCGCCCGCACGCGAGCGACCACACGATCTCACTAATGCGTTATTGATTTTTATTGCATAGATTTGTGGACGAGCTCACAGCCCACCTGGTGTTAAGTGTTTACTGGAGCCCATAGATATAAATGCCACCACCCATCTTGAGATATAAGTTCTAAGGTCTCAAGTATAGTTACAACGGGTGCCCCACCCTGCAAACCGAAACGCATTACTGCTTCACAGCAGTTATAGGCAGAGTGGTGGTACCTACCCGTGCGGACTCAGAAGAGGTCCTACCACCAATTATTAAATAAACTTTACTGGTTGTAGGACGGGGCAGCCGTTATAACTGTACTGAGACCTTAGAGCTCGTATCTCAAGATGGGTGGTGGCATTTACGTTGTAGATGTCTATGGCGGTTATTGCTTAACATCAGGTGGGCTATGAGCTCATCCACCTATCTAAGCAAAAAAAACCCAGCGATATCAAGGGACACTAGTCATTGTCGTCAACCATTGAACACATAATTTCAGTACAGTAGATTGGGGGGAATAGAGACTAGAGTTAGAATAGGGACAAATCTGGGATGTCACAATACTTTTGTTGAGTTGTTAGAGATTTAACTTTGTTGAACTAAAAATGACTTTTATTTAGTGTGTATGAATATTTAATAATTTAATTTGGTCATCAAAGCTTTGTATGTAATTCATTAAACATAATTCACAAAATTAATTACCTAAAGTTAGGTACCTACCTAACAACTAAATAGTGCCAAACAGATCAGAGTTAACTTTTACGCTATCGAGAATGTTAAAAAACTCGCACTGAGCACACTGTTCGTTTATTATTTTCTAGAATGCAACAGTTGAGGAACATTCTAGTCGGGACTTCGCACTACAGTTTATTCGACGATATCAATTTGGAGAGGGTCGCCCTCCTCGATGACGGCTTCGACGGCTACCATTACGCACAGTTCAGCACGGCCTACCTGAAAATGGCTTCAGGTGAGTTTTATAGGTAGGCAGCGGCTTGGCTTTGCCTCTGGCTGATAATTTCTGACGTCGATGAGCGACGGTGACCACTTACCATCAGGTGGGCCGTATACTCGTCTGCCTACAAAGGCAATAAAAAAAATATAAAAAAATTATATTGCTTCACGGCAGAAATAGGCAGGCAGGGCGGTGGTACCTACCCGTGCGGACTCACAAGACGTCCTACCACTTAGGTATGTATCTCATACCAGTCAGTCGACGGTCGCATCTATACGAATGCACATGGTGTATAATAGTGCTATCTCTGTCGCACGCAACACTACAACAGTCTTTATTTAAGTATTAACATTTATTATTCCTATTGGTGGTAGGATGTCTTCTGAGTCCGCACCGGTAGGTACCACCACCCTTCCTATTTTTTGCCGTGAAGCAGTAATGCGTTTCGGTTTGAAGGGCGGGGCAGCCGTTGTACTGTACTAAGACCTTAGAACTTATATGCAATAAAAATAAAAATTACAACTGGCACTAAATTTAATATATATTTTTCAGAAATCAATTATAAAAAAATGTTAATATTATCCAGCAATTTTTTTGTTTTGTGGACGTTTTGGCATCCCTTGGCGAGTAGCGCCTAGGGAATGATGCCCCCCTCGCCCCCTCGCACACCCCTAGATACGCCATTGCACCCGTCGATATAAGCTAATAATATACAGTGTACATTTTGAATTTCAGATATCACTGACGACGCTCCGTTCAAAGTGCGGAAGGAGGTTCGGCGCGCGAGGAAGTGTAAGGAGGTCGACGTTAACAGCTGCCTCCAGATACTCATGGACGTGACGTCACAGATGCTGGAGCCGAAGGTTAGAACCTGTCTCTAGAGAGACAGTGCACTCAATCACTCACTCATTCACTCCCTCATTCACTCCGCACTCACTTGTTTAGCTATACGCACAAAAGTGACTTTTTGGCGGGAACGCGAGTGGTGAAGTTGTGATTTCTTTTATTTTGTCTATTTAGTGTTTCTTCAGGTTCAAATGTGTAATAACGCTGGTTTATTAACTGTTTAATATCTGTGAAAGTGCACAAATGTGGGAAAATGAAACAAAGCCGCTGGACGTAACTTCTCGAGATCCTCCAAAAGTCCACTGAAAAAATCTCAGTAAATGATCACCATTTTAATGAGATTATATTTCATCCCGTATCATTCATCTCATTTCATTTAATTTCATCCCAGTTGGTTAATGTCTCAAATTAATGATCTTCATTTCATATCACTCCATATTATCATTTTTCATAAAAATAATAATATAAATTAAAATAAGACTTGACCTAAAGGTCTTAGTTACTAGATTATAAAAACCCTTAAAAAAAACTCAAACGTATATTGGTAGACTTAACGCTGAAGACGTTCGCTACCAGTCAGCCGAGGCTGGTGTAGGGTGCTGTGGTAGAGTCATCTTGTGACATGAATAGTTGACATCTTGCATCAATCGTAGAATAATTTACGCTGGTCAGCGGCTTTGCTGCTGTCCATGGGCGACAGTAACCACACACCGTCAAGTGGGCTATATACTCGTCTGCTTGCTTCAGTCAAATATATGGCTGATTGATCCTTTGAGAGTGAATAGAAAGTTACCTTTGAAATGAATAAAATCCCACAAGATGTTCAGAACCTACATATACATAGGTTTAAGAAAACTATTAAAGAACATTTGTGCAATAAAGCTTGCTATAAAGTCAATGATTATCTAAAAGATTGCACAAAGTGCGAATGAGTTGCTCGCTCCGGGCATTTCAATATTGCAATAATTGTTATATGTTTTGTAAAAATGAATATTAAAAAAAATTTAATATTTAAAAAAAAAGTTATGCCCGCTGAGTTTCTTGTCAGTTCTTCTCAGGACGGAGGCTAGTTTTTATGTATTGGCGGTAGTTCTTTTTGCCGTTTAACAAGTATGTATATACTTTCATTTATCTATATATATAAAAATGAATTGCTGTTTGTTAGTCTCGCTAAAACTCGAGAACGGCTGGGTCGATTTGGCGAATTTTGGTCTTGAATTATTTGTGGAAGTCCAGAGAAGGTTTAAAAGGTAAAAAAATATGTAAAATGCTCGGAATTAAATAATTTTTGTTTTTCCTTTGATGTGCCCCCCGTCGGACAGATTCCTTTTGTTTGTTTTAAGTTTATTTTATATAAAAGTTTAGGTCTTTTATTTATCGCATTGAGGCACTACGAAGTCTGCCGGGTCATAACTTTTTTTGACTTGATTTGATTTGAATAATTGGTTAGGCTGGGACGGGTCTGGCGGCCCGCGTGGCGCTGCTGTCGTGCGTGATACACACGAGCGGCGCGTTCAGCCAGCCGGGCCAGTGGTGCTGGGCGGCGTCGCAGCTCATCGCGCTCACGGGCCCGCAGCACGCGCGCCTCACGCAGTACAGCGCCGCCGGCCGCCCGCTGCTCACCGCGCTCTCCGCCTGCCTGTGCGTGCTCGACGGGTTCGACGGGCTGCAGGTCGGTGTGTGCTCACGCTACCACTAACTGTACATATCGACGCTTGAAAGGCAAACGTGACTAAGCGACGATGCGTGAACTTTACAGTAGACTAATTTAAACTTGAAATACCTGAAAACAATAACTATTTTAACGAATCTAGCTGTGGGATTGAAATGATTTTAATAGACCTAGAAAAAAATTTTTTTTTACGCATCGAATATGGTTATTGCCTATCATTTATATACAAAACAGTTATTGTCGCTAGTCACGTTTGCCTTTCAAACTTCGATATAATTGTGGGGTTCGCTCAAAGCTCAGTTTTTTGGAAAAGTCACGAAATATATTATTTTAGCACACGTCGTTACGGTAGTTGTTAACCTTATAATGCCTGATCGTCATCTTGACCATCTCTCCTCCGTCCCTTTCTTCCCCATACATTCATCCCTTTCACTCTCAACGTTACGTTTCCCACATTATATTAATTGAAATTGGACTCTACGCATATAAATAATAAGGTCGTCCCGTCAGGAACTGTCGACGGTTCACCAGAAGCTGGTCAAGTCTCTATCGTCGTCGCACGCGCCGCTCCGGCAGGCGGCGCTGCAGGGCTGCCTCCTCCAATTGTCGCAGCGCCCGCCCGCGCCCTGCCACGACCTCGTCGCGCAGCTCGACGTCGCCGTCAGACAATACCTGCCCAGGAACAACAGGTCATAGAACGGTCTATCTCACTGATGGTTGAATAATTGTTATTGGTGGTAGGCACCACCACCCCTGCCTATTTCTGCCGTGAAGCAGTAATGAGTTTTGGTTTGAAGATTCGGTTTCTGATCACGCAAGAGCCAGTCACCGTCGACGCCCTAGATCCATCAGAACCAATAACCTTTGCACTAGACGCCTTCAGCTCTAACACTAGGAGCAGGCTTAGGGACCCCAAAACATTCGAACTGTTCTCTCAAGAAGGGTGGCGGCATTTACGTTGTAGATGTCCATGGGCTCCGATAACTACTTAATACCTGTTTTTTTTATAGCTTAGATGGCTGTGAGCTCGTCCACCCGATTAAACAATAAAAAAAAACTTGATTATTCGGTTCGGCATATTCATTTTACGGTTTCTTGACGCAGAAAAAATTTAATCACCAGAAACTTCCTCCGTACTGCTCTTTATAAGTATAAACAATCTACCCTCCAATAAAATGTAAAGAAAAGGGTGCGTGTACTTATGTACGCCCGTAAGAAGTTATACTTTTTTTTATATATATGTTTTTTTTAATATTAAATAATTAATGATAAATATTTAACATTAATAATTTAATAATACTTAGTATGAATTATATTAAATAATACTTTTGTCATTTATATTATTAAAAATGAATGCTAATAACACTTTTTTTTACGAGTGTACATGCGCGAAAGTTCACCTGCGGCTATATTCAGACTCGCCAAGTTACGTCGGTCGTATTGTAATTAGCGATTTAGTAGGCAACTTCATTCTGTTAATTTTGTGTCACGGTGCGCGCGCATCGTAAAATTTCACTCTCATCAATTTTTCATAACGCGCCTAAAGAAGTATAACTTCAAAATGTTAAATACCCAAAGTTTTATGTTATTAATTCCAGGATATCTGTTTACGAGCAGAGCTTGTACTGGACCGTCCTGTTCGCGCTGGTCGAACTCGGACACCCCGATCTTATAAACATCGCCGTGGACTTCGTGCTCACCGACCCCACCCACTACTGTACCGAGCTAGTCGTCAGGGTGAGGAATGGCTTATGACGTTAAAACTTTATAGTGAATTTAAAAATGCACACGCGAAATAAGTAAAACTACGAAATAAAGCAAAATTTTCGAAATTTGGTCGTTGCAAATGAAGGACACAGACTGCGGAAAGAAACGATAAGAAGCGGCAGTTCTGCGGTAAAGGAAGGATACACAATACCTTTATGTAGTCCTTGCTGCAGGCTCGTACCGCTTCGCGATGAGAAACACCAACAATTTCATATTATTTACGAATATAATACAACAGAGACACGAAGCGCGCGCGCGGTGGTTTAGCCATTACATTTCTTTTTCGAGTCGATGTCGTCACACGATCCCGCTCGCACGCGTCCGTAGGTAAAGTGCAGGAGAGGGATGGGATAGGATTTGCGAAACCAAATTAAATGTTGCTATTTTTCGAAACCAAAAAGTAACTGTTTTAAACCAGCGCAACCAGTAACTTTAAAATTGCCCTAAACACGCCATTACGGATCCTCCCGATCCATTAACGCTGCTTTTGGATACCTCAAACACAGACCACCGTCCTCGTCGAACCCGTCGCCTTCAACGAAGGGCTCGACGAGTGTATTAACCCATAGACACAGCCCACTTGAGTTTCTTGCCGGTTTTTATTTTTATTTTTTTTATTGCTTAGATGGGTGGCTTAGCTCACGGTTCATCTGATGTTAAGTGTTTACCGAAGCCCATAGATATCTACAACGTAAATGCGTGCGTCACCCACCTTGAGATATGAGTTCTAAGGTCTCACTATAGTTACAACGTCTGCCCCGCCCTTCAAGCCGGAACGCATTACTGCTTCACAGCAGAAATAGATGGGGTGGTGACATTTACCCATGCGAACTCACAAGAGGCTCTACTACCAGTAATTACGCAAATTATAATTTTGCGGGTTAGATTTTTATTACACGATGTTCTTTCTTCACCGTGGAAGTCAATCGTGAACATTTGTTGAGTACGTATTTCATTAGAAAAATTGGTACCCGTCTGCAGGACTCGAACACCGGTGCATCGCTCAACACGAATGCACCGGACGTCTTATCCTTTAGGCCACGACGACTAACGATGACGTCTAACTCACCTATAAGAGACCACATGATGTGTCCGAAGAAGCTCATAACACGTTGGGTGTTAAAGGTGATTTTAATTTCCAGGGCATCGCGAGCGCGCTGAGGAATCAAGTCCTCCCCAAGCAGCTCCAGAGCGCCACCGTGGATAAGTTCTTGGGCAACACCGACAGCCGCGCGGAACGACACGTCGTTCTGATATTGATGCTGCATCTGTTTACTGGTGGGCTCATTACACTAGACATAACACTTTACTGGTAGCAGAACCTCTTGTGAGTCTGCACGGGTAGGTACCACCGCCCTACTTATTTCTGTCGTGAAGCAGTAATGCGTTTCGGTTTGAAGGGCGGGGCAGCCGTTGTAACTATACCTGAGATCTTAGAACTTATATCTTATATCTCAAGGTGGGTGGGGCAATTACGTTGAAGATGTCTATGGGCACCGGTAACAACTTAACACCAGACGGGAAAGCGTGCAAAGATCAAAAAAAAAAATTAGCTGTGCTGACCCTTAGTGGGATAAGATGAAAAAAAAGAAGAGATAGAATAAATAGAAAAAAGAATAGATGGCGCTTGAATAGCCTCAACAAATGAATGTTTTTCGTACGATTAGCCATTGGCACCACGAAGCGTGACCGGCTTTGTGGATATATCTTTATATTGTATATCTTTATATTGTTACGCACTGGGGTTCGGGATAAATAAAATTCCACCAAAGTACAACTTTAAACTGTATTCAACACTTAGAACACTTTAAAACTCTCAATTCGCTTGTTCCGCTTCGCTTCAGGTGATCCGTTCGCTGTTTCGCTTCGAGTAGTTCCGATTACTGACTGACTGCGTGCCATCCCTGCAATGCTTTTATAGTCGATACCTCATCCCTAGAATTGTCGAGAATATTCCACACACCTCTAGTAGTAGTTTCCGCTATCTGTCAATAGATGGCGTAGTACTTCTCAAGCGTTATAGGCGCTTCTAGGTCATTCGATATTCTTTCGACGATTCGGCGATAGATGGCGTTACTCTTACCGGCGTAACAATATGCAATCAGTTTTTTTCTACTTTATATTTTTAACGCAAACCTTAGAATTCTTTGAAATCCATTGTAAATGTGCAGTCTGTTTGTTTGTCATTCTTTCAAGTCGAAACGGAGCAAAATATTTGAGACATGAGTTTTTGTAAGTGTAATTATTAGTACAGTTACATTAAACCATCCAAAGGAATCTAAATTAAAATTTCTTGACCTACCGGTCATCGTTTTCGTCGAACCCGTCGCTTGCAACGAAGGGCTCGACGAGTAAATTAACCCATAGACACAGCCCACTGAGCTTCTCGCCGGATCTTCTCAGTGGGTCGCGTTTCCGATCCGGTGGTAGATTCTGCGAAGCACTGCTTTTGGTAAGGCTAGTGTTAGCAACGTCGTTAGGTTTGAACCCCGCGATATCATCTACTAGCCCGATGACACTGATATGCTCTCTCTAGACCATCAGCTTAGGTAGAAAAAAACAAAATTCTTGACCACGCACAAAATAGTCATAACAATAAAAAAATTATATTTTGTTTGTCCGTAATCTATGGTCGACATAGATTGGTATTAGTTTCTGCTAATCCCAGAAAGGGTTCGTAGTTGCCCTCAGCGGACGACAGGTGGCGCTGTGCGTGCTATATCAGATCCCATCACTATTTATTTCTTTCAGTAGACGACAAGCTGTTGAACTCGAAGAACGCGACCGACGTGTCCAACATGGATCCCGACGTGCTGATGACGTCAATGGAACGCATAACGCTGCTCTACAAAACACTCAGGCAGACTAAAGAAACGGAGAGCAAGAGGATAATTGTAGCGGCTCTCAAATATTTCCTGAGAGAGACTCTACCGCCGGCCGCCACGTTGAGTAGAGTCGTCCTAGAGTTTTTGGACTGGTGTAGAGACGCGGAAAGGTTAACCGCCGGCACTTTATCGGACAGAGATAGATTTATCGAGTGCTCGGTCATGAATGCTGAAGTTGTTTTTGAGGTAAGACTTGAAGAGTTATTTTTTTATTGCTTGGATGGGTGGACGAGCTCACGGCCTACCTGATCTTAAGTGTTTACGGGACCAATTAGACATCTACAATGTAAATGCCGCCACTCCCCTTGAGACACGATTTGTAAGGTCTCACTTTTAACAGTACAACAGCTGCCCTGCCCTTTAAGCCGAAAGGCATTACTACAGAAATAGGCAGCACGGTGGTACCTACCCGTGCGTACTCACAAGACGTCCTACCACCGGTAAATAGAGTTATCTGAAAATAGTTATTAATTTGAAACAAGGCATAAACAATGATTATCATAGACTACCTATCAGTAAATAAAGACAAGATTGTGGTACCTATCCGTGCGTTCTCTTGTCTTATCTTATTAGTAAGAATTTTATACGACAGTGATAGGTTTCAGAGGAGAGAAAGGAATTACAAAGATAAATGTCGCGTATTTAACGGAACTTTCACCATTCGAAATCTATTTTAATATGACTGCCATATTTCTCTCAAGTAAAAATACAGTAAAGCTTACTAATTAACGTTACAGGTGTTCGAAGCGTCGATAGCGCTGGAACAGCTGCCCGTGCTGAGCGGCTGGACGTTCGAAGCGCTGGGACATCTGCTGAGCGACAAGCTGTCGGCGGGCGTGACGCCGCACGCGCTACTAGCGCTGCTAGTGGCGGCCAGCGCCTCCCCCCTCACCCGCGCCGCCGCCCCGCTCACCCGCGCCGCCCTGCACGCCGGCCTGCGGGCGCGCACGCACCCCGCGCCCCCCCCCGACCTGCCCTACGCAGACAAGCGGCTGCTGTGCGTCGTCGCCACGCACTCTGACTACACCGCCGCACAACTAGAGAAACTAAAGGAGCTGTGCGAGCGAAACGAACGCCTGCAAGATTTAACGGCATGTTTGAATTTGAAATTGTCAATGCAGTCGTAACTATAATTGAGACCGCAGAACTTATATTTCAAGATGGGGGGGCGCGTTTGCGTTGTAGATGCTGTATGCGCTGCTGAATGTGGCGTACACAACTCGAGATTTAGATAGGAAGAAATCATTGATTAGCTATAAAATATGAGTTTATTATCAAGTAACTAATTCTATTGTACTGTAGGCGCGCAAGTTCATGTCCATCCTGAGGAATGCGGTAGTACTGTCACCTAGTTAATTATGGTAATGTCGATAATAACTACCGATTTAGTCAACAGCTGTCAGTTTGGTTTAATGTAACTTAAGGTAACTTTGCAATTTATGAAATAAAATAAATGTGATAATTACTCGTTTATTTCTAATAGAGAAAAAAAAATCCAATTCAATTACTATCAAATGAAAAGACAACCGACAGATCAGAGTCGGAATCAGTATGTATCTTTTTTCAATAGGTTCTTTTTCTATCTGAACCAGTTGGAAGCGGAGTAGTCATGGTTAAATAACACAATAGCGTTAGCGTTAATTTTCGGTATTGATAAGCGCGCGTCACAACCGTCAAGGACAACACTCGACGTCAGACGAATGCGGGGAGGCGGGCGGAGGCGGGGCGAGCTGTCCCCCGCGCGTCGCCTCTGGCCCCGATGGACATGAACTCGCGCGCAGACTGTATGTAGTGAGTACCGCTGTATGTGAGTGTTGAATGTGTACCGGCGCTTTATACTACGGTTTGAGTAAAGCAATGTAAAAGTGATGCTGATGTGAATGCGCGCGTGCCCTGTACGATACACGACTCGTACCGATGTCTATGGGCTCCAGTAACCACTTAACACCGGGTGGGTTGTGTGCTGGTCCAACCATCTAAGGAATAAATAAAAATTAGAACTTTTTTTTTTTGTGAACATTAAAAATGTAATTAATTTTTTTTATTCGATTTTAATACTTTATGATAAGCGCTTGATTTTAAAGAGACGGAAAGAATACTATGTCCTTTTCCAGACTAACAGAGACTGTTTAATTTTACAAACTGATAGAATACAAATGTTTATAAGTCGTTCAAAGTAGGTATAAAACTTATTTTCTTAAAAAAAATTTAGTTAAGTCACTACAATTCTAAATGTGAGCTCGTCCACCCATCTAAGCAATAAATAAATAAAAAGTTAAAACTTTGCCGCGGTGCAGATGCGAGATTACCTTGTCGCGCGACCTGCCGGCGTATACGGCCTTAATTCGATTGATCTAAGATAATATTCTTATTTCGATCATTCGATTATACAAGTGCTAACTTAATTGCTAATTTTATTGAAGATCTCTAAAAAAAAATATTTTCTTTATTTGCATTGTGATAGTTTTAAATTAATACATTCGGTAAGGGAGAAGTTTCTAGATATCAAAGGCAGATATGTGCGCGTAAAACTACAACGATGGTACTATATTTCCTTTCATAAGACACCTCAGATTTGAGTCGGAACCTCAAGAGACGAAAAAAAAATCGTTGGAAAAACAGACGTCTGAAGTCAACCATACATTTTTATAGATATTTTTATAGATATTTTACTTAGATTGAGATAAATATAGGGAAAAGTTTAAAAAAAATAGATTATTATTAAGATCAATGAACTAATACCTAAGTTTTGCTTGGAAACAAGGTCTATTAATACAAGATAATAAATAAATAAAAAACAACTGATATTAACAAAACATTTTTTTTTATTTTATTAAATTTATTCAATAAATTTTGCCGTCTATTTCTTATTTCATATTTAAATTAAAACCTATAGTGAGGGGTAGATCTCAGGGGTATTTAAAATTATGGGTTAGTCACCAGTATCGAATTTCGAATTTTAATCTTTCTTTAACACAAACAATTTTCAATTTTAAACAATAATTGCATTTAGACGTGGGCGCACGCTATTCACACTCAAAACCATAGATTATACACTTAATATATTCGAGACAAAACGGAAGCGCCCGGAACATAGATTATACACTGTTAAAAAGATGGACATAGATACTAACTATGTATAGGGAGCGGGCATACGGCCGCGAGAGTGACGTACCGGTCGGTTTGCTATAAACCCTTTATTTCAAAAACCAGTCCACAGTGTCATTGAAATATTATTAAAATTACCATTTTAATATTACCAATTAAAACAAAATAATAAACGTCAGCCCGTGTAGTTCGTGCTAATACTCAAATTATAAATGACTAGCTGTACCCGTCCGCTTTGCTGGCCATTTAAAATTAACATTATTATTTCTCACCCCCACAAAGATTCTCATCATTAACGCCCCCGCAACAGTTGCGGACAGTGTTGGACTCCCTACACCAGTAACTGGTGTAGGGAGTCCAACACTCATATAAATATTAGCCTATCCATTAAGTTACATGTATTTTCTATATCGATACCAAGCTTCAAGTCAATCGGATGCATGGTTCAGTAATTATAAGGGAACATCCGTAAAAACCACTAGATTTATATATTAGTATAGAAGTATAGATAAGCCTTTTAGCCAACATTTAAAGTCTTTAATCTCCTTTTTAAATCTATTATTTTAAACAGTCTCATTGAATTACGTATGATTTTTTTTTCTCAATGACACAGGTCAGTGGATCTGTCTAAGAAAAATCTGTTTTTTAAACTAAAGAGTTTTAAAGGTTTTACATAATAAAGGTTTTTCTTTACACATATGTATGTATATCAGTCTCCGGTTCCCGTGGTACAGGGAAACCTGGTTTGGGTCCAGACGACCAGGTGTGACTTATTCCTAACTGTTATTATTATTATTATTGTCACGCGCTGGGGTCCGGGATAAATAAAATTTCACCAAAGTACAACTTAAAACTGTATTCAACATTTAGAACACTTAAACACTTCACAAACACTTTAAAACTCTCAATTTGCTTGTTCCGCTTCGAGTACTGACTGACTGCGTGCCATCTCTACAACGCTTTTATAGCCAATACATGTGGTACCTAGAATTAGCGAGAATATTACACACATTTCGAGTATTGTGTTTTCGCTATCTGACAACAGATGGCGTTGTACTTCTCGAGCGTTCTAGGTCGTTCGATATTCGTTCGACTATTCGGCGATAGTGGCGTTACTCTTACCGGCGTAACATTATTATTCAATAACTTTTCGATATTTGTGCCCCGTGTAACAAACCGCTTAATTCGTTTGGTACTGTATATTGGTGTTCGTTGGCGAGGAAGTTTCTGGATTTTAAGCTTTGGGGGGCCAATGGCGCTATCAAAAGCTGTTAGACGATAATTTTTAAATCTACCAATGATGTACTATTAGTTGTGTGACTTTTCAGACTGATTTCTGTTTTAGGAGGGCGACCGCGAATGCGCGTTCTTCAATACGATTTCAATGCGATCGCCTTCCGATATAACATATATACATAATATGAGTCGTCTATTATCAAAGGTGGCAATCTGTGCATTTGGACAAAAAAATGTTATTGATATGTCAATACAGATTGATTTGAATATAATCGTCTCCTTCAAAGAATACGGTTCAAAACCTGCATTAAATAAAGGTTAATAGTTAACCTGTTATTTATCTAAGATGTCGTTCCGAAGAGTTTTGTGACTGCCAATGGAATNTTATTGATATGTCAATACAGATTGATTTGAATATAATCGTCTCCTTCAAAGAATACGGTTCAAAACCTGCATTAAATAAAGGTTAATAGTTAACCTGTTATTTATCTAAGATGTCGTTCCGAAGAGTTTTGTGACTGCCAATGGAATACAAAGTCAATAATTCGTTTTTCTGATTTACCAATAATTTTCCAAAAGTCAGATTGCCAGCTTTGATAATAGTCGACTCATATATCGAGAGGTGAAAGTTTGTTTGGTTTAAACGACATTTCGCTTAATTTTTGTAATTAAATATTTTTTTTGGTACTAGCCGTACTCGCCCGTTTCGCTGGGCATTTAAAATTAACATTATTATTAATTGTCATTATTATTAGGGAGTCCAGCACACTCATAAATATTAGCCTATCCATTAAGTACATGTATTTTTTACATGGATACCAAGTTTCAAGTCAATCGGATGCATGGTTCAGTAGTTATAACGGAACATCCGTGAAAACCACTGTAGATTTATATATTAGTATAGATTAGTATCAACAATACAATGTGCATACAATTATACAATTATAAACATTGTATTGTTGATACTAATCTATACTAATATATAAATCTACAGTGGTTTTCACGGATGTTCCGTTCAATAACTTCAATTGTAAATTAAGTTTACTCCATTCAAATAGTTGAAGAAGTGTTTTTGTTACGATATTTTTTTTAAATTTTAAATGGCTTCCTTGTAAAGCTGCAAAAATGTCGCCTAAACCTTTCATCCTCGATTTGTATATTATTTATCTAAACTTGTATTTATTAGACTCAGGCCGCCACACCTATATAACGTCCATTGCAATCGAAATGTTTATTGCACGGTGTCTCGTAATATTTGAACGATGTACATATTTATTAATTTTTTGTTTGTTTTTATATTATAATAAATAAACGATTAATATATTATGAATCCATGAATTTAGACGCTTTGTGATCTTGAAAATATATTATTATAAATTTGGATAAGCCTATTGTGTTGTTTTTTTTGAAGTGAAAACTTCTTTAGAATCGTTGTGATTTCAAACCGGATGCAACGGAAAAAACGACAGGTAAGAGACACAAATACAAAAATGTGTAGGATGAAGCCAGCAAAGAATGAGACAGAAATATACATACTATTTAATACAGCGCCATCTGTGAGATTTTTTAATACTGTGTGTATGAAAGCTCTTGTAGTGAATTTTAATTTAGGATTATACGTGAAATTAAAATATCAATTCACAGAGGGCGCTACCTTACAATTATTTACTAATGACAAAATTTTACATATACTTAAGACGTTTAGGATAATTGTATTTTAATTTTGGAAGGTTTCACTTCTACCACGTGTGAATTGCACACATTTTTTTTTTTTNCTAACGTGTGTATGAAAGCTCTTGTAGTGAATTTTAATTTAGGATTATACGTGAAATTAAAATATCAATTCACAGAGGGCGCTACCTTACAATTATTTACTAATGACAAAATTTTACATATACTTAAGACGTTTAGGATAATTGTATTTTAATTTTGGAAGGTTTCACTTCTACCACGTGTGAATTGCACACATTTTTTTTTTTTTTGGCATAGTTCGTCCATTGCGTCGAGAATTTTGAATAATATGCTCGTTTGGAATAAACGCAACCGCAACCAATATATTACTAATTTTACAGGTGGTAGGACCTCTTGTGAGTCGGCACTACCACCACTCTGCCCGTTTCTGCCATGAAGCAGTAATGCGTTTCGGTTCGAAGGGCGGGGCGGCCGTTGTAACTATACTAAGACCTTACAGATCATATCTCAAGGTGGGTGGCGGCATTTACGTTGTAGATGTCTATGGGCTCCGGTAATCACTTAACACCAGGTGGGCTGTGAGCTCGTCCACCCATTTGTGATATAAAATATATACACATGAGCAGCAAACATCTTAAATGTATATAAACAGACTCCAAACAATAATTAGACTACTATTAGACAAAATTTAACAATTTTGGTCATGTTGGCAGTGAAATACCTGAGGTAGAGTTACCTTACTTGTTTACTTAACAAATTAAAGCATTGAAAAGTCGTAGCCCGTCTTATCTTATCATGACTCGTGTGCATCTAATAATAAAAAAAGTGTGTGTGTCCGCTCCGACGCACGACTGGAGTTTACTGGATATAAAAAATTAAACGAAACAATACGAGAAATAGTTCTATATTACGACAACACGATACACTACAGATTATTAACAAATTAACGAGACACAAAACAAACGACTAACAAATATATGAAAATACAATAATGAGAGAAACGCGCGATCAGTACGAGGCTTTGTGGCGGACTGCCGGCGCAGCAGCCCGGCGTCACCTGCGATAACGCGGCCGCGCGTTGGCTCCTGATTGGCGCGCGCACGCATCACGCAATCAGGAGCCAATCAGGCGCATAACGCATTTCGTGTGACATGCTAGTACGATTTTGGTCCCCATAATTTTCATACCCCGGGCCTATATATGTAAATCGATTCTAAAGGAGTAAACTCCAAAAACGTCATTAATACGCCTGAGTATTCTGAATTGAGTCATTACGGTTTACACGAATAGTGGAGAGCAGTAAGCCGAGTTTTCTGGATAAGTTCAAATGATTCTGTCGGAAGATTTATGTAATTGACCAAAAGAGTATTCTAAGCCCTAGAAACTAGTAAACATTGATCTGATTAACTGTACCACAGACATTGTTAGTATTTAATATTTAATCAAGAATGCTATTGGAAAATATATGTAATCGCTTTGAACTTGTGACTGTTATCGGTGCAAATAATTCAGCTCTAGAAGAATCTGTTGTTTACTGGCAGATGGTACAGACAATCACTTATGCCATGACTAAACTACTTCTCCGTTCATCTATGAGCTGCCAATACAAACACAAACACAAAACATCCTATTGGAAGTGATTTCTTCACTGTGTGAAATTCTAGTTTGTATCGTCCATCGCTTTGATTTTTCGGCTCTATTTAATAGGTATATCTCGATGAAAGAGGCGGAATAAAAAACCAGTTAGTAAGCAGTGGCATGTCGCCCTAGTAAGGTTTGTATATGTGTTTATTATTACAATCACTTACAAAAAAAATGAAGACACCCTGTATATAAACTCAAATATTAAACCATCGTGCTAAGGTCTACCCTTCGAATTGGGATGAACGGTAGCTAGGTGTCAGTGATATATTGGACAGGATCCCAATTCGGTCTTACAAGACAGCCTATTTCCATAATTACATTTATCAATGGTCGGGAGAGTTATTGGGAAATAATGTGTGTTGGTATTACAAGGCACGGAAAAATGATGAGAAAATAGAAGTAGCACTGGGAATTTTAGTGTTACAAAAAAGTTTTATGTTCTACTAGTGACCCGCCCTCGCTTCGCTTCGGAAACTGTAATTTATTATTGATTTCTCCACTATTTAATGGATATTATTATACATATTATTATAAAACTTCCTCTTCAATCACTCGATCTATTAAAAAAAAACCGCATCAAAATCCGTTGCGTAGTTTTAAAGATTTAAGCATACATAGGTATATAGTGACAGAGAAAGCGACTTTGTTTTATACTATGTAGTGATTAATTACATTTTGACCACATTGTTCTCCACTACAAAAGTAATAATATATTTATCTATTGATTACGATTCTCTTATCGCGGATAATTGTCGAATTTTTATCATTAGTGGTTTGTGCAGCCAACATGGCGGTTACGAGACGTGTATACATTTTTGGGGCATTCCTGCTCAGTGTACTGTCAGTGTTATTAACAGTCGTAGCTATTTCCAGTGATAGTTGGGTGAGTTGTGTTACTGTTCATTCGTATTATTGTGGACTTCTCGTATAGCATAAGTAAAATCATAAACTGGATATGGTGCCGAATTTACAACTCATCAGTGGTCACTACAAGTATCCGAATATTTTTAAAACATAAACGATCAAAATAGAAGATTAAAATCACAGAATGGCCACATCTTGATAGTGTCAAATGTTATAAAATTATTAAGGATTCAAAAAAAACTTAATAGCTATCTATTTATTTAGCCTAAATCAACATTTACATTTAGAAATTAGCATTAATAGTGCATCAAATTACATATTATGAAAGGAACGACAACTATATGACCCGTGTCGGATCGGGTGACACGTTCAATTCGTAATCTTGATAGACGCAAACACGATGCTTCTTCCCGGGATAAGGAGTTACTTGTATCAATTTCTGATTCTCAAACCACGACTCGACTAGTAGATCCGTTGTATTGCGTTTTTCTTTTTTAATACGTTGTGCGTAAAACCATGAATCAGCCAATGCAACATCGTGTTTCTTATAGCTGACACATCCCGCCATGCCATTCTTCATTGATCACGGTAAAAAATATCCGAAATGTTAATTCATTGGATCCTTTGTGTAACATTTCATCCAAAACCGTCGTCAGTAATTGGTTTTGTATGATTGAATAATTAAAATACACTGGTATAAACTTTAAACTATAAAATTGAGACTGACCTGACATCTCAAGATAGGCACTTAGATGTGATATGTCTATGGACTCCAGTTAAATGGGCACGAGTTCATGTAAAGATTATAATGTTAATGACTAATGAAATTCCAACTTCTATCTCATGGCAGATAGCGATATTAACGTTCTAATAGTTATGGTTTTCAATAGCCATTTAATATCGAGTGAACTGTGTCCACGACTGACCATCTACAGGGTTTAAAAAAAAGTTATAATTATTAAGTTTTACATACATACAGAGTGTCCCAAAATTTAACGATGGTCGAGTGAATAACTACCCGTGGAAAAATAAAATAAAAAATCCAAATCAAAGTTGATTAAAAATTCAAATATTTTAAAATTTCATGAAAAAAGATTGTTTATTTTATTTTTATATTAAAAACTACAAATGTTTTTGTCCTATTTGGAACTGCAATTAATAGATATGTTACTGAGGTAGCTAGTACAAAAAAAAAAGTGGGGATATGTTCACATTTGTAACCGCAGTATCTAATCATAGGGTGTAAGGTATCAAATTACAACATTTTTCAAAAAAGTTAATGTAACTTTGAAAAAAAAAAGAGCTGGATTTTTTTTCCATGGGTAGTTATTGGCCCGACCATACACTGGTACCGGCTTATCGTTGAATTTTGGGACACCCTTTATATTAGAAAACCAACAGCATATACTATTTTTCATTAAATAAATTAAAGGAACATTTTATAGGGACTTCTAATAATGTTATTAGGCCTTGAGTGTGAGCGAATGTGGCTTATGAATATACAAGATTATGGCGAGACTAAAGCAACGAAGCAATTGTTTGGTCGTGTAAATATGCAATTGTTCCCTGTCATTGTCAGTGTTGTGCTTGAAAAAGCGACAAAAGGCCATAAAAACTGTTCGCACGATTTTGGTACAATCGTGAACACCGATTCGGCTGATGATCAAAACCTCATACTGAGCAAAGAGAATATCGACCAGAAGAATCCCAATAGCATCGAGAACCTTGGAAGTTTCTCAGAACTAGAGTGTTGTCACAAACGGATCATACTAGGCAGTGCACGCTACGTGATGTCTGTGGGCATTGGCAACCACGTGACTAAGTCGTCCGTGAGTTTGTAGACAGTTAAAGCTACTTTCCCGGTGTAGTCTCGCGTTTTTAATGCCATTCAATTGTTTCCGACGTTTAAAATACTTTACAGTTTTCGCGGCCGACTATTGGGCATAACAATAAAAGTACCAGAAATAAATCGTTTTTTTTAATAGGTGAAGTCGTCGTGGCCTAACCGATAAGACGTCCGGTGCACTCGTGTTGAGCGATGCACCGGTGTTCGAATCTCAGGCGGGTACCAACTTTTCTAATGAAATACGTACTCAACAAATGTTCACGATTGACTTCCACGGTGAAGGAATAACATCGTGTAATAAAAATGAAACCCGCAAAATTATAATTTGCGTAATTACTGGTGGTAGGACCTCTTGTGAGTCCGCGCGGGTAGGTACCACCACCCAGCCTATTTCAGCCGTTGTAACTATACTGAGACCTTAGAACTTATATCTCAAGGTGGGTGGCGCATTTACGTTGTGAATGTCTATGGGCTCCAGTAACGGTTGAAAATTTGTTATTATGTTAAAGAAAATTTAATATGAATCAAATATTTATCAAGACAAATAATAAGCATTAAAAAAAGATTAAGAAGCGATAAACTTATCAAAATTATCATAGCTTTCATTTAAAGAATGTCATGTAAACTTGTACAAATAATTAGATTCACTATCTGGTAGTGTTACAAAACATAAAATCGCGGTGAGTATCAATCACTTATCTCAACTAAATATTCACATAAAAAGAATATTGAATAGGTAGTCTCGCGTTTTAATGACCCAGATGGCCTTGCACTTAATCAGAAGGTAAAGCGATAAAGACGAACTGTTTCGGTTGCACCAAATAACGGAAATACAGAGAGAGAGAGAGAGAGAATACACTTTACTGCACACCAAAACACAATTTACATTCAAAAAACAATCAAAAAAGTAGATACATTTGTACAATAGGCGGTCTTATCGCTAAAAGCGATCTCTTCCAGACAACCGTTTCATTTACAGAAATTCTGGAAAATATAAAAATATAGCAGGTATGTTGTGGTGTATTATAGATAATACATTATTATAGAAAATATATACATACAATAAACAAAATATATACTAATATTTATATACCAATATAATAATATGTACATACTTACATACAATACATACTAATATACCTATATACACATAATACATCAACAGTATGGAAATAATAACTGATGGGAGGGGGGAAATATACTTGGTCTATACCACCTAGAACCACTGCGTTCATCCACAGTGCGTTTTCAGATATCTCTTCTGCCACATGCCATCCGGCTTTGGAATGAGCTCACCTCCACGGTGCTTCCCGAGCGCTATGACATGTCCTTCTTCAAACGAGGCTTGTAGATAATACTCCGCGTAAACTCCTGGAATTGCTGACGTCCATTCGCGACGGTAACCACTCCCCATCCGGTTGGCCGTATTCTTGTATGCCTAGAAGAGCAATAAAAAAAACAAATAGTCTTTTTCCACACCGGAAACAATCGCAAGATCTCCCTTTATGCTGGTAAAAACGTGGTATAGCTATTTAAACTAATAATCGATTACAGGTGGTGTCGACAGCCACGGCAGAAATACAATCAAGGGACAGTATTATTCGCTATGGACTGTTCACGGGAGAGCTCACTCTAAACACACTTGTCACGCCAATGTCGAACGCTTTGTTCAGTAAGTTTGTCTTTAACTTATTTTGTGTTTGTATAGTTTTTATTAGGACCTGTTTTGGGATCTCACAGCCGACTTATCTATACTAATCTATACTTCTATACTAATATTGTAAAGAGGTAATATTTGTTTGTTTGTATTGAATAGGCTCCGAAACTACTGAACCGATTTGAAAAATTCTGTCACTGTTTGGAAGTTAAACTGTTCCCGAGTGACATAGGCTATAATCTTTTTTCAAAAAATTTAGGGATCCTTACTAAAACTCCAATAATGTAACCCAAGGTGTAAAAAAAATGCCTAAAATATTCTTTACATCGCGTGCGCTGCGAAAACTTTTGATGATAGAATAAAATAATGTACTACGACTTTGTAGAACGCATTATTATTTACAAAAAGTTTCGCGACAGCATATGTTTAACTATTATAGTTATGCTGCAATAAGTGTTCTTTTATTTAAAAAAGTAAAACAACGTCAAATATCGTTGAAATTTTTGATAAAGACCCGAGCGAAGCCAGAGCGATCCGCTAGTTTATAATAATTGTGTTGGACTTCATTTTCCTTATTTCTTCTTCAATCTGCTATCCGCGCCATCTGTTGACACTATAATAAAAACTAGGCGTGTGAAAACGATGCGAAGACTGTGTGTAAAAAACTAAAACATGGTGCCGGTGTAAAATAAAATTGTGATGTGTTGTATCGCCAGTGAGAAAATAATTCATCAACGAACTACGCAGTGAGTCTTAAAGCTTATCCGTTTCTCAGTCCCACACATATTTAAATTCAAAATAAATTGTTTATACGGCGTATCTATGAAGATTTAATGGTTAAGACCGTATAAGAACTCTCTGTTTACACTTGAAAGTTTATCAGAGCAGAATCTTCGTTTTCGTAGAAAAAAAAGGGTGCGTGTACATATGTACGCGCGTAAGAAGTTATACTTTATTTTTATTAAATTTATTTCTTTTTTTTGTTTAAATTTTAATCAATTTAAAAACAAAATCGATTAAACAACATCCTCAAACACGCATATTGGACAGCCCTTTTCTTGACATCGTATGAATTCGGTAATTCTCGGTACGGTTCGGAAAGTTCAGCTGCGGTTATATTCAGACTCGCCAAGTTACGTCGGTCGTATTGTAAAGAGCGATTTAGTGGGCAACTTCATTCTGTTAATTTCGTGTCACGGTGCGCGCGCATCGTAAAATTTCACTCTCATAAATTTTCATAACGCGCCTAAAGAAGTATAACTTCAAAAATTCCTTCTAATTTAAACCAACGCCTTTAGGATAATTCCAATGAGTCATTTAGTACGTGCGGTCATTGGAAGTCACAGCCTACCTAATGTTAAGTTATTACAGAAACTCATATAGTAGGTTATAAATCAATAAATATATTAACAAGATTAATATCCAGCTTGTCTCTATAAAAAAAAATTATGTAGGGTGCAGTGTGAGTTTGTTATTTAAATATTATGTTGCTTAAAAAATGTTTATTGTTATTATAAAATATAAAGTAAATCAATGAAATGTTAATGTTATGAATGCACCCGGGTGACGCGGTTGTTGATCGTGCACTTACGGTTTGTGGAAATAAATTTAACGCGTCACGCGAATTATGCTAACAAAGGTGGTCGGTAATATATTATATTATTATATCACCGAACATATAATAATCTCGATCTGTCTCAGGCCCGAATCGCTTATCTATACATATAAATAAAATTGGAGTGTCTGTTTGTAATATTGATGGTAATATTGATATATGGTACATACACTAAAACAACAGTTTTTACAATTTTTGTCTGTCTTTCTGTCTGTCTATCTGTCTGTTGGTTCCGGCTAATCTGTGGAACAGCTGGACCGATTTTTACGAGACTTTCACTGATAGGTAGCTGATGATATAAGGAGTAGCTTTGGCTGCTTTTTTAGACTAGCTTCGCCCCGCGGCGTCACTCGCGGTACGACAATAGCCGCGGGTAACGTCGCGAGACTCAGCTATTAATAATAAAATTTAATTTAAGGTAGGGTAAGGTCGGTAATAATAAGGTATTTAATAGTTTGAATAATGGAATAGAATATTAACAATCTTGTCACAGACAAACATATCGAATATTCATTGTATAGTGAAGGCTCCGACAAACCGCATGACGGCTTGCGGTAAAAATCACTTATTTTTTATTTATTTACTTTATTGCTATATATATATATATATATATATATATATATATAAGTTCTAAGGTCTCAGTATAGTTACAACGGCTGCCCCACCCTTCAAACCGAAACGCATTACTGCTTCACGGCAGAAATAGGCGGGGTGCACAGGAATCATCTCGTTTGTTTTTAAGTAACCACTTACGTAGGCCCAAAATACGCCCTACCGTCGTCACACAAGTTAATCAACTCAGCACGTTTGATTTTTATTCCACAATATTCGATACCTGCTTATTTGAATAGGCCCGGGCATACTCGCGTAGCCACGATGCAAGTACATCCGACGTCTAGTTCATTAGGAAAGAAATATTTCATTTAAAATGGTAATTTTTTTCTCATAACGAGTAACATAATATTCTCATAGTGCTAGCAAACGTTGCGTTTCAACACTTTTTTCTAATGAGAGCATTAACGTCATACTGATTAAATGTCTCTAATAAGCATTTTGTTTCGTTCGTAATTAAATAGGAGCATTTAAAGTTTATATACCTACAGCGCAACAAGCGTTATATTGCGATCATAAATTGTATTCTACAAAGATTAAATTAATAAAGCGAGCGATAAATAAATTTCGGTGCTAATTCTTAAATCGCAAAGTTCGGCGTAGCAGATACGAAATTGCTTTAATTTTAGGCCATTTTGAGAAGGCGGCACGACATGAGAACTCTCTCATCGTAGCCGCTGAAAACTACATACCCGACCCAGTAGACCGAATGGTAAACCGTCGACGTCGCCTAAAGCACGTCATTACGGATCCTCCTGATCCATTAACGGTGCTTTTAGGCACTACAAGCACCGGTCACCGTCCTCGTCGAACCCGTCGCTTGCGACGAAGGGCTCGACGAGCGAACTAACTCATAGACACAGCCCACTGAGTTTCTCGCCGGATCTTCTCAGTGGGTCGCGTTTCCGATCCGGTGGTAGATTCTGCGAAGCACTGCTCTTGCTAGGGTTAGTGTTAGCAACTCACGCGAGCTCACCTACAAACGTTAGGGCGAAGCTGAAATAGCCTCTCAAGGCTATCAGCATAGGTAGGAAAAAATGATAATTTAATTTTAGTTTTGTGGGTATCGCAATTATTTTCTCGAACTGGCTACAGATAATTAAACTCTTTCGTCGTGCAATCTGTTCTGCTATGGAATGCGCTTCCTCTTGAGATCAGGACTATTACTAACCGCTGCACGTTCAAGTTAAGGGTTCGGCGAATGCTGTTGGAAAAGTTAGCGGAATCGTCATGAACTTGATGAAGTTATTTGTTAAGGAAATTTATTAATATATTCTTTTTAATACTGTATAAACTATTATATGTATGTATGTGTGTATATATTTATGTATGTATGTATGTATATGTATATGTGATTTTGTATATATGTAGATATACTTTTTTTGTATGTATTCGTTACCTAATATAAATTTCATTGCACCTACCACTATTTACTCTGCACTACCTTTGGTTGACTGGTAGAGAATGCCTTAGGCATTAAGTCCACCAATGTAAATTTTACATGAAGTGTAATAAATAATAAATAAAATAATTTCGTCAATTCAGGGAATCCCGCGTAACCAGTGGACTTGAATGCGATAAAAGTATAGTTTGGGTCTCTATTCTTATCTTCATGATATACGATACGCATGTGACAGGTAAATAATAATATGTAAGCAGGTTGTAATTTTTTTTAAGCTATTGCATAGCTTCTTTCGCGGGCCTTGAGCGCGGCGACTGAATCAAGAAATTCTGTAACGAAAATAACCTGACACCCCCACTACGCCTACTATGTAGCTCGCGTTCAATACATTCACACGTTGCGCTGGTGTAGTGTTTTTGAATAAGCGCGCGGCGTGACGTCGCACTGCATGACCATCATGAAAAGTCTGCCCATCTCTCTCTCACGCGGTCTAGCTTATGAGTGTGAAGGGGACAGTTAATGTTTTGCTTTTGTTAATGTTTATAAATATAGCGTGGTCTTATTTTTATTATTGCTTTAATATTAAGTTATTATTGTCTAATTGTAATTGCATAAGTTGATAAAAAATGCTTTGCAATAGCTTTACCGTGACAGACCCCGAGTGCCACGCGTCTTTTTTTAAATTAATTTAGTTCAGATTTTGCATCCATATCACTTTCGTTAACATTTCATATAGTATACCAGAATTAAATAAAAACAATAATTACAATTTCGGAATAAAACAAAAACAGTAATAATAATAAAACAAAAAATTGAAATGAACGTCAAAACGACCTTTAACCTAATGGCTGGTTTGGATCCAGAGTGCTTGTTACGCCGGTAAGAGTCGAAGGATCGAGTAGCATCTGGAACGCTCGAGCAGTATAACGCCATCTATTATTAGATATCGGAAACACACAATACTCGAATTTGTGGAATATTCTCGACGATTCTAGGGATTTCGTCTTGACTATAAAAGCGTTGCAGAGATGGCAAGCATTCAGTTAGTAATCGGAACTACTCGAAGCGAAACATAGAACGGATTACCTGAAGCGAAGCGGAAGAAGCGGATTGAGAATTTTAAAGTGATTAAGATGAAAGTGTTTGTGAAGTGTTCTAAGTGATAAATACAGTTAAGTTAACAAACTTGTAATTCGGTTGAATTTTATTTATCGCGAACCCCAGCGTGTAACAGTGTGTAATTGTCATTCTGTACCCTGAAACAGTTCTAAGACTAGAACAATTATTCCGAACTAACAATAAAAAAATAATTACAAAAAAACTGTTTTTTTTTTGTAATTTAATGAAATTGACACGACTCTTCCGGTAGTCACGACTTTCATTCAAGATAAATAAATCTACATTGTTTATATACTGCGATTCTCCAATCGTGGGCTTAATGAAAAAACGATTATTACATAAAGCATTTCGTGTTCACGAAAGCCGTAATCAAAACGATAGTGCTTTGAGGGTTGCAAAATAATTTCAAAATTATTAATATTAAGCTCGTCGCGTATTTGTGAACGAGTAATGTAATAAAAAGTTTTTCGAAATTTAGAGAGAGAGAGAGAGAATACACTTTATTGCATACCAAAACACAATTTACATTTAAAAAACAATCAAAAAAAGCAGATACATTTGTACAATAGGCGGTCTTATCGCTAAAAGCGATCTCTTACAGACAACCGTTTAATTTATAGAAATTCTGGAAAATATAAAAAATATAGCAGGTATGTTGCGGTAATACATCTTAATAATACAATTTATCGCTTACATTATTGTGAGTAATAAATTTCAATGCGTTCTTAGACGTGATTGTTGCAGGGTCGCAATAAATACATTATGTACTACTACTTGAGTTTCTAAGATCATCGAAATAATCACGTTTCGCAACTTCACAAGCGCGTCGAGATGTGCGCTTAGTGTTTCGTCTTTCAAAGTTTTTATTTTTAAGCTATTGCATAGATTTTATCGCGGGCTTTGAGCGCGGCGACTGAATCAAGAAATTCCGTAACGAAAATAACCTGACACCCCCACTACGCCTACTATGTAGCTCGCGTTCAATACATTCACACGTTGCGCTGGTGTAGTGTTTGTGAATAAGCGCGCGGCGTGACGTCGCACTGCATGAGCATCATGAAAAGTCTGCCCATCTCTCTCTCACGCGGTCTAGCTTATGAGTGTGAAGGGGACAGTTAATGTTTTGCTTTTATTAATGTTTAATATAGCGTGGTCTTGTTTTATTATTGTTTTAATATTAAATTATCATTGTCTAATTATAATTGCATAAGTTGATAAAAAATGCTATGCAATGGCTTTACCGCGGCAGTTCCCGAGTGCCACACGTTTGTCTTTTTTTATATTTTTAATGCTTAGATGGTTGGACGAACTCACGGCCGACCTGGTGTTAAGTGGTTATCGGAGCCCATAGCCATCTACAATGTAAATGCGCCACCCACCTTGAGATATAAGTTCTAAGATCTCAATATAGTTACAACGGCTACCCCGCCCTTCAAACCGAAACGTATTACTGCTTCACGGCAGAAATAGGCAGGGTGGTGGTACTTACCCGCGCGGACTCACAAGAGGTCCTACCACCAGAGCAACCAATGCCTTAAATTATGCACAAAAACTGAAGTGGAAATGGGCTGGTCACATCGCGAGGCTTAAGGATGAGAGATGGACCATAAAAAAGCATTCTGGAAAGGCCCACTAGGTAAAAGGAACAGAGGTAGACCATTGACTCGTTGGGAAGCTGAGATTATAAGGACAGCCGGTCCAAGCTGGAAAAAGATCGCACAGGACACAATTGGGCATCTTTGGAGAAGGCCTGTACTCAATACAGGGTTTCTACATAAAACTACCAAAGTATATTAAATTTGTAAAGTGATCATATGTTAATAACTGTTAGAGTATTTAGTATTACTGGTGGTAGGACCTCTTGTGAGTCCGCGCGGGTGGGTACCACTACCCTGCCCATTTCTGCCGTGAAGCAGTAATGCGTTTCGGTTTGAAGGATGGGGCAACCGTTGTAACTATACTTGAGACCTTAGAACTTATATCTCAAGGTGGGTGGCGCATTTACGTTGTGGATGTCCATGGGCTACAGTAACCACTTAACACCAGGTGGGCTGTGAGCTCGTCCACCCATCTAAGCAATAAAAAAAAGAATAGTAGGAAATAAAAGGCTTATTATTATTATTGTTACTTGAGTTTTGAAGTTAATCGAAATGACCAATAAACGCAACTTCACAAGCGCGTCAAAATATGCGCTTCGTGTTTAGTCTTTCGAAGTCCGACCGGTGCATTACTGTATAACGATTTGAATAAAACAAATATTAAAATTACAAACACAATTCATTGTGGACTCAAAACTCATTATAAAGGCTATGTGTGTGTTTTGAAATTAGCCTTCATAAACAAACAAACAAGGCAAGATTTGATAATGTTTTTTGGTTTTTATGAATATTAATTGCTACTTTTATTCTTTTCGTGTTTCAGTGACCTGCCTATCCGACTTCAACGCTTGTGCGTTAAGCTGTAAAACAGAGGAGAACGCGAGGATTATAGAAGTTAGTATTCCTTTTAAAAAAATCATCGTAAAATATTTTAAGCTGTATAGCGGTTGAGCCCACGTGGTTTGGTGTCATAGCCTTGCCTATATCTATATATCTATCTGCAACGCAAGTACTCAAGCGTTTCAATTTGAAGGCTGAGATGCCTATACTTTTTACTGCTCTAGATGGGCAGACTAGACTCTATTCCAATTACGAAGTCCCATGAGACAGATGTTATTATTATATTATTGTGTGTGTGAATTAATTGTATAATGATTTAGATTGACTGTGTATTTTTTAAATGATGTTTAAGGCCATGAAAAAAAAAGATTATTATTTCAAACTAGCTGACCCGGCAGACGTTGTAGTGCCTCAATCGATAAATAAAAGACCTAAACTTTTGTATAAAATAAACTTAAAACAAACAAAACGAATCCGTCCGACGGGGGACACATCAAAGGATAAACAAAATTGTTTGTTTTTATTTAATTCCGAGCATTTTCATATTTATCTATCTTTTAAACCTTCTCTGGATTTCCACGAATAATTCAAGACCAAAAGTAAGCCAAATCGGTCCAACATATTTTTTTTTATTTGGACATTTTTTTTGTTATAATGAGGTATTATGTGGTTGAATGAGGTTTTGTTATTTTTATTATATTTTATATTCCCTCATCGTTCACAGCACTACATACCTCTTTTACTCATTTACCACATCCTTACACACTTACAATAAGTTAGTTTTTTTTTCTACACTAGAAATTCCCTAGAAATCTTATATAAGGCAAAAAAATGTTTGCCGGGTCAGCTAGTACTTATATAGATAGATTATGTATTATTGTGTTAGGAAATTGTTATTTGAATTGAGCAGTGTGCTCAGTGCGAGTTTTTTAACGTTCTCGATAACGTAAAAGTTAACTGAAATATGTATGCAGTTGGAACGTTTGCCTACGTTTGCCGCTAGGGGCGCTGTTCTAACTCCATACAAATATGAGTAAAATTTTACGCTGAAACTCGCACTAAGCACACTGTAGCATACATTAAACGTCTCACGCATTAACACCATTAGAACTCACGTGTAAATGCATTCTGGGATTGGTGTAGTGTGGACTTTAAGCATTTGTAGATAGAACCGGACTATTTTTAACAGACTTCAAAAAGGAGGAGGTTCTTAATTCGACTGCCTCATAACTTTTGACAAGGTGAATCGATTTTGATGATTCTTTTTTTATCAGAAAGCTGACGCTTCCCGTGTGGTCCCATTTCAATTTAGTCCAGTTCTGATAATGGTATCTCTGAGAAAACCATATAAGTCTTAAATTTGCATTAAGTACATGCGCGACAAATGGGTGAATAACTCAATAACTCAATATCACGCCAACCGATTTCGATGATTATTGTTTTTAGTGTCTATTCATTTGTTTTGGAATACCTTTTTTTTTCTATTTGAAGTCTGTTTTTGTTTAAACATGTCTATTTACAATTAATTTATTATTGTTATTGCTTAGATGGGTGGACGAGCTCACAGGCCACTTGATGTTGAGTGGTTACCGGAGCCCATAGACATTTACAACGTAAATGCCGCCGCCCACCTTGAGACATGAGTCTTAAGATTTCAGTAATTACGTGAAAATCATTTTTGCAGGTGGAAGCATTGGCCCAAGGATTTAGACCCACACCGGCCTGCACAGCTGTTACGGAAGTGGACCAAAACGATCCTTGTGAGTTGAATTTTAATTTTGAATAACGAGATTAATTGTTATCTATACTAATATTATAAAGAGGAAAGATTTGTTTGTTTGTTTGTTTCGAATAGGCTCCGAAACTACTGGACCGATTTGAAAAATTATTTTTCCATTAGAAGTCGACATTGTCCCTGATGAACATAGGCTACTTTTTTTTAATTTTTTTTGAATTTTTTTTTTTGGCTTCATGTGTGTTTTAATGTTTCCGAAGCGAAGCGAGGGCGGGTCGCTAGTTGTATAGAAATTCGTAAGTTTTTACTTCACTATGCTTTGAGGAGAAAATAAGACTTTCTATTGCGATGAAGGATTCTATCTTTTTTTTTATTGCTATATGGGTGGACGAGCTCACAGCCCACCTGGTGTTAAGTGGTTACTGGAGCCCACAGACATCTGCAACGTAAATGCGCCACCCACCTTGAAATATAAGTTCTAAGGTCTCAAGTATAGTTACAACGGCTGCCCCACCCTTCAAATCGAAATGCATGCTTCACGGCAGAAATAGGCAGGGTGGTGGTACTTACCCGCGCGGACTCATAAGACCACCAGTAGCTTTTCGTTTCATTGTTTCAGTGTATCCGCCGCCAGTTTTGTCCTATGCTGTCTACGTTGCGGTCATTGTGGTATTGTTCGTTCAGCTCGCTTTCGGCTTAGTGGCTGCCTCTCTGGCCATTTTGAACGCAACGAAGAACCCCACAGAACCGATCTTCGGGTTACCAGGTGAGATCGTTTTTTGGTATCCTTTGCACTCAATACCACTTGAGTTTTATTTTTTTATTTTTTATTGCCGTATAGGCAGACGAGCATACGGCCCACCTGATGGTGAGTGGTTACCGTCGCTTATGGACGTCAGCAATGCCAGGGGTAAAGCCAAGCCGCTGCCTACCGTAAAAAGTCCACAAAAGTCGAGTATTGTGTGTTTAGGCTATCTTACAATAGATAACGTTGAACTTATCGATCGTTCTAGAGGTTCTAGAGGTCTTGATATTCGTTCGGCTATTCGGCGATAGATGGTGCTACTCTTACCGGCGTAACAATATATAGAAGTAAATGACAGATGTCACCTCAATTATAGACGCAATCGACAGTGCGATAGTTGACCACATCTTGAAATTAGAAGAGTAAGAATAATTGAATAAAAATACAGTGATAAATTTTTAATAAATATGAAATTCAGATTAAATACTTTTTCACTAGGTAACAAACGTTTTAATGTCTACACTAATTAGAAAAAAAAGTCATTTGAAGGTTTTGACCTGACAACGTCTTATAGTTCGATGGAGCCGGCTGCACGCACGAAAAAACATGACTCATGCGGCTTTACCTCGCTCTGAGGCGTTCCATTTAACGCTTGAAGTGCAAGCGAGCGCGCGCAACGAGCGACAAAGAGGCACAATCGGCATCCGTGTTCGGCAGCGTTCGACATCTGTCTCTCTCCTACTTGAGTGAGCGATGCATCCGCGTGGACAGCTGCTACGCAATAATACATTTGCATTTCGTCAAGTATGAAGTTCAGTGAAAAGTGAATGTGGTTTCAATTGTTTATAGCAACGATAATTGCGATAATTGAAAAATGAAACCATTCCATCAGTATTTTCTTATGACGTTGTCACTTTCAACTATCGTCAGTAAACAGACAAGCGATTTGATTTGTTTTTCCCTGTGAACCGGTTTTGTGGACGGAATATGAAGCGTGTATCATTTTCCAGGGTGTCTTTGGGCAAATGTCTTAACTGCACTACTTGGCTCGATTGTTTTGCTGACCTTCGGCATATACTGGTTGGTGTCAGGCTTGAAGGGCCATCTGGCCATATCGTATATAGCGCTGGGTCTTTTCGTCCCAGGTCCAAGCTTAGGATACTCTTATTGGTAAGTCTTTCAGTTTGTGGTACTAGATACACCTGAGTTTAAGTTGTTACGTTCGCTTATAGGTATGAGGCCAAACTCATTTGCAATCAATCAAAGACCCTTTGAATAGGAATGCACAATTGACATGAGGGTCGTAGCTGTTAGTGTGGACTTACATTAAGGCCCTTTCACCAATAATTCTGCAGATAATGATTATTGCACAATAATAGTGCGAATCAGAGACTGATATATATACTTAATTATTTATTTGTTTAAAAAAGTACTGCCGCATCACAAACATCTAACATTGAAAAGAAACTTAAACTATTTAATTTATGGCCTGATGCATGTGACAACAATGGCGTACCTAACATTGGCAATTCATCGGCTCGAAAATGGAATACAATAATAAAAAAGACGTGTGGCACTCGGGGACTGCCGCGGTAAAGCTATTGCAAAGCATTTTTTATCAACTTTGCAATTACAAGTAGACAATAATAATTTCATATTAAAATAATAATAAAAATAAGACCACGCTATATTTATAAACATTAACAAAAGCAAAACATTAACTGTCCCCTTTACACTCATAAGCTAGACCGCGTGAGAGAGAGATGGGCAGACTTTTCATGATGATCATGCAGTGCGACGTCACGTCGCGCGCTTATTCACAAACACTACACCAGCGCAACGCGTGAATGTGTTGAACGCGAGCTACACAGTAGGCGTAGTGGTGGTGTCAGGTTATTTTCGTTACGGAATTTCTTAATTCAGTCGCAGTCAAAAAACAGTACAATTTGTTGAAATATTAATAAAAATGTCTAATAAACGTCATATCATATCAACAAGCAGTTTCAGCCGCAGTCAAAAAACAGTACTATTTGTTGAAATATTAATAAAAATGTCTAATAAACGTCATGTCATATCAAAAAGCAGTGAACAGTATACTTATATACAACAGTATACTTATACATACATTTAAATTCTTAACTTAACACCCAGATATAGATCAAACAAATATGCTTATCACTAGAATGCTGGCCAGATTTGGGAATCGAACCTACAACCTTCAGCCCAGCAATTAAGAGCACCAACTACCGCACCATCGATCCAGTCAAACTTGTGAAGCTATTTATTACCATTGGTATATTTAGATTTTATTGTTTCAGGATCCTGATAACTTCAGTATTGTGCAATCTGATAAACGTTTGTCTGATACGTCTAAGATCGTACCTGTTAGAAAGAGATCCGCCACCGCCAACCATTAAAGTCGACAATCATTCCGACGGCACTATATTTCTATATTAATATTATCTACCTTACTCATAAATTTATCATTAAGAACTCTCCAATAAAGAAATTTAGGAGATGGGTGGACGATATTAAGGCAGTTGCGGGAAGCACATGGACCAGAACAGCTGAAAATAGAAGCTTATGGAGGCAGTTGGAGGAGGCCTATGTCTATCTATACTTCTATACTAATATTATAAAGAGGAAAGATTTGTTTGTTTGTTTCGAATAGGCTCCGAAACTACTGGACCGATGTGAAAAATTCTTTTTCCATTAGAAGCCGACATTGTCCCTGATGAACATAGGCTACTTTTATAATTTATTTTTTTATTTTTTTTGGTTTCATGTGTGTTTTAATGTTTCCGAAGCGAAGCGAGGGCGGGTCGCTAGTAATAGATAAACAGACAGAAACTAATAATAATTTAGTTACAAAAAAAAAGAAATCTTCCATAAAAATTAAGGTAATATTAATACCACTACTTAAAACTTATTAAAATAATTAATTGTATTTGTAAAAAAAAAATGTATTTGTCTGAATAGAGGCTTTATTATTATTATTATTAATAAAGAAAAAAGCTATGACCAAGCTACATTTTGTTTTGTCTGCCATTATAATAAACTAATTCCGATGTGGTTGTTTCCCTAAAGACGTTTTAACTGTGTAAGCAATTAATGTGAACAAGTAAGTAAGCCGATCACGTTCCATTGTGACTATCACTAATTGTATGAAGAATTGCTAGTGGGTTTGCCAAGAATTTTCTTTCAGACGACGAAAAAGAATTGTGTCGAAATCGATCGAGCCGTCCACAAAAGATACTACGCTATACATATGTCGATGAAACTTTTTTTTATATAATCATGTGCAATTTGTAAAGAAGGTTACAGTACTCGGCAATAAATATTGCAAATCGATCTACAGAAAGAGAGAATCGGCTAATTTCGGCTTCATAGTGTTATCTCTATCGCACATTAGCTGTGTGACGTTTATCATTATTATTTTTTATTTTTATTGCCCTTGTATACAGACGAGCATACGGCCCACCTGATGGTGAGTGGCTACCGTCGCCCATGGACTACAGCAATGCCAGGGGCAGAGCCAAGTCGCTGCCTACCGCTAAAACACTACCGCTACTCTTTTTAATACACTGAGATAGTGCTTCTTATTTCCAGCCTCCATAATTGTATGATAGGTACCGCCACAAGTTTAATATAGAACTCCAAGCTTCAAGAAAAATATTTTAAAGATTACATATGTATGTATAAAATAATCCGTGTACCAACGAATTTAGCTAAGAATAGATGCGTGCTTATTATTAAGATGTCGAGGTTTATCCCCGTCATTTTGTATGTTGTTACACTCGCGAAATAAGTAAAAGTATAAGCTCTTTTGCGATTACGCACAAGTTTTTTTTTAATTTTTTTTATTGCCTTTGTAGACAGACGAGCATACGGCCCAACTGATGGTAAATGGTCACCGTCGCTCATGGACGTCAGCAATGCCAGGGGCAGAGCCAAGCCGCTGCCTACCATAAAGTACTCTCCGCAAGCCTCGTTTGAAGAAGGACATGTCATAGCGTTCGGAAAACACCGTGGAGGGGAGCTCATTCCAAAGCCGGATGGTACGTGGCAAAAAATATCTTTGGAAACGCACTGTCGATGAACGCAGCGGTTCCAGATAATAATAAGTATTCTTATTTAAGTTATTTTGTTGAATTTAATACTTGAATTAGTTTTAATATATTAATAATATCGATACTTCTGTTAGTTTTATATATGTAAATTAGTGTTATAAGTTTTTAAAGAAATATACGAGATTTTATTATTCTTTGTTTTTATTAAGTTTCCATTATTAACTGATTAAAATATACACAATGGCATCGACAACGACATGGGTGCTGATATTCCGCCATTCTGCTCAATTCTGCTGTGAAGCAGTCCTGCGTGGGTTAAAGGGTGGGACAAACGTTTTTATTTATTTATTTTTTATTGCTTAGATGGGTGGATAAACTCACAACCTGTTGTTAAGAGGAGCCCATAGACATCTACAACGTAAATGCGCCACCTATCTTGGGATATAAGTTTTAAGGTCTCAAGTTTAGTTACAACGGCTGCCTTCATATCGAAACGCATTACTGCTTCACGGCTGAAATAGGCAGGGCGGTGGTACCTACTTGCGCGGACTCAGAAAAGGTCCTATCACCAGTAATAATATACGATGGAACTGAGTCTACGACCTCATATCTTGAGAAGGGTCCCGGTCTTTCACATATAACATAGGCGGTTTGTGAGATGGGGAATGAGGAGTGGCCGTTGACTTGGTTACCAGTCTCGGAGCAACTCTGGACAATTCTTCGGAGAACACGGTGATCACAAACCCTAGCGAATATAAATTATGCAGATTACTGTTTCTCTTTTTAAATTAAAAAACAAAACAACGCAGCATTTGTTAAATTCAAATAAAGCAAATCCCATCCCTTCGTGTGACATTAACATAGAAATGAGAAAAATTTCGTTACAAAACTTTTTAATAATTGTAATCAAAGTTTATTATTTGTGTGCGTGGATTTTGTAACTACGCTAGACAGTAACGTAAAATGGATTTTCAGTTTTTGGCTCTAGTCCATACAATGTGGATATTTTATTATATTAAAATCATGTTTATTGGATAGGAGTATTTCTGGTTGGGTGCAGTCTGAGAGCGCACTGATAAACGCTAAATGTCTATTTATTTCTCGAAGTAGACCATCATCATCATAAGCTTACGGAACATTGCTTGCCAGACATTATTACTGGTGGTAGGACCTCTTGTGAGTCCGCGCGGGTAGATACCACCACCCTGCCTATTTCTGCCGTGAAGCAGTAATGCGTTTTGGTTTGAAGGGTGGGGCAGCCGTTGTAACTGTACTTAAGACCTTAGAACTTATATCTCAGAGTGGGTGGCGCATTTACGTTGTAGATGACTATGGGCTCCAGTAACCATTTAACACCAGGTGGGCTGTGAGCTCGTCCACCCATCTAAGCAATAAAAAAAGTCATCCCTCAAATCTCGCCATAATGACCGGTCCCAAGCTGCCTGTACCCAGCCGTTTCTTGCAACCTTTAGCAGGTTGTCGGTCTAGCTCAAGAGAGGTCTACCCACACTGATTTTTCCAGTGCTCGGTTGTCACCTAAGATCTTTTTGTCTCCAGCGTCCATCTGTTCTTCGAACATACACTGCCCCTGCCACTTTAATCTCGCAATCCCTCGGGGTATTGCGCTTACCATAGCTCTGTTCACAATCTCCCATCTCCTGGTCATAATTGTATATAGCATAAAATCTAGTGAGACAAACTACTGTACAATAAAATGCAGACTACCACTTCGTGTCTGTGCTTTGACCCGATCTGTCTATTTAACTTTATTTTTATAATAGATAATATTTTCAGATTCAACCTATATTTTAGTTTAAATTCTAAAGTTACTGCCTGTTTTTCTTCTACGTATGCTTCAGCCTTAAGAGGCTATTTCAGCTTTTCCTTGACGTGTAGGTGAGCTCACGGGGCTCAAACTGGGTGTGTTGTCAACACTGGCCCTAGCAAGAGTAGTACTTTGCAGAATCTAGCATCGGATCGGAAACGTGACCCACTGAGAAGATTCGGCGAGAAACTCAGTGGGGTGTGCTTATGAGTTAATTTACTCGTCGAGCCCTTCGTCGCAAGCGACGGGTTCGGTGAGGACGCTAACATACTTCCTCATTAGCTACCAATCTTTCTGCTTTTTGTATTGCCCTTGTAGGCAGGCGAGCGTACGACCCATCTGATGGTGAGTGGTTGCCGTCGCCCATGGACTTTAGCAATGCCAGAGGCAGAGCCAAGCCGATGCCTATCGTTTTGAAACGACTGTGACTGAAATGAGGCGCGTAATAAAATATTCGGAAGAGTCCTTAGCAACAGCGATACAGCTCTACCACTGCAAATTGCTATAAGCATAGGTACCTACTCACGACTTTCTGCTTGTTTACAAAAGTAAGTAATAAAAATATACAAAATTGATTGTAGTACTATATTTCTAATTTCAGTGGCGTATCTTAAATCAACGCTTCTCAAATTTTAATAACATCGTAAATTAATGTAATACCAAAACCACTTTCAAACGGCGGCATCGTGTTACAGCGAAAGTGCAATATCCGCCTAGGAGTGGATCGTATGCAAATTTGTGTTGGTACGTCTGACATGAATTGCAACTTGTGCTCCAAGTTACTAGATGAGCGCTACGACATTACTTTTGTCAAAAGATTCACAGAGTACTCAGCCGTAGGCAGAGGCTTGGCTATGCTCCTGGCATTACTAAAGTCCAACAGCGACGCTAATCATCATCTAGTGGAATGTCTTATTGGTAGTAGGACCTCTTGTGAGTCCGCACGGGAAGGTACTACCACCCCGCCCATTTCTGCCGTGAAGCAGTAATGCGTTTCGGTTTGAAGGGCGGGGCAGCCGTTGTAACTATACTGAGACATTAGAACTCATATCTCAAGGTGGCTGGCGGCATTTACGTTGTAGATGTCTATAGGCTCCAGTAACCATTTAACAGCAGGTGCGCTGAGAGCATGTCCAACCTTCGAATCAATAAAAAAAATGTATTCTCGTCTGTGCGAAGATCCCATGTGGAGGCATTCAATTATCCCACATCATGATCAGCCCACATACGTCCAATGCTGAGTATAGGCATACTTACTACTACACTACACTAGGACTTAGGGGAGCTAATCTTCGCCATAGTATCCGGTCAGGCTCAGCCCGAATCTAGCGAATTCAATTATTGTCTAAAAGAATGTTTTCTTTTTTGTTTCTTCACAAAAGACAAAAGTAATATTTTTAGATAGCCCTTTGGAAAAATAGCTTGCACTTCATACCAGCATGCTTGCCCGTAAATATTTCTATAAAAATAAGTATTGGCTTCTTTTTCAATTTTTTAGATTCAAATTTTTTTTCTATTTTTTAGTTGGATTTTGTATAAAAGCGTATTTTTTTAGTTTTTTTAAACTATTATTTATTTTTCATCTTTTAGATGAATTTCAATATTTTCAATAAATTCTTTTCATTTTTTTTAAATATTGAATTGTCATCGGTCCTTAATAAGTATACCAAATTTCGAGTTAATCCG